GAGTTGAGGGAGAAGAGAAGCCTGATGAAGCTGGTGTCTCCGAAGAACCAGCAACATGACAGACTTCCCATCTCTCTCTCTGCTGCAGTCTGAGGGACAGATTTCATTCTCTTTGTCTGGATTGATAGTTCCTTGCATAATCCTGCCTCTCTTTGAGCCTCAATCTGCCCAAAGATCTCATTCTCTGATGTGGAGAAGCTGTGCTTTTCAGTACAAGTTGGAAGGGTGCACTGATCTTGTGTGTATCACCAGCAGTGGAAAACCACAGAAGGAAATCAGTTAAAAAGTGTGTAGGTCAAAGCAGAGAAATGGGCACTGGCATTTTCAACAACTTCATCTGCCAGCTTCACATTCTGGCCAAATAATAATAATTGTTAAAGGCTTGAGTTACAATGGCAGACATGCTTCCACAGGCTTCAAGCCACATGTTTCCCTCCTCCCATTATTACTGCCTGCCTGGGAAATGCAGTTCTTGTATGGTATGGCATGGCAATTTATTAACCCTATTTTTAGGTGCTTCTACAATACTGAAGGACAGATGCAACCCCAATCTGGGTTTATGCAACCCTAAAGGTGAGTGAAGCAGGCAAGTCTTAGCAAGACAGATGACGGTCTGACCATGAGATAAAAAGGAGAGAAAATTTAGGAAAACGTTCATCGCCCCCAAACTGTGGACAATGCGGTTCTACGTAGATGGAAGACAAATGACTGGGGCGTCGCAATACAAAGGTCTGCAATCCCCTGCCTCCGACACAAGCTGATCTGCATGGTCATTTACGCAAAACACACAAAGATTACACAATTTATACTGCTCAACACTGAGGCTGCTTGGAGAGACGACTCTCAAAGTGAACTTCGGGCAGTGTTTGTTCGGAAGAGCCGTAAAGCGACAACGTCGTGAAGGAGGCGAGAACGGGCCCTAGAAAGCAAGAAGAGGAGGCTTAGGGGCGGGGCCAACGCCGGAGAGCGCGCGAATGGGAAGCAAGGGGGAGGAGCTTCATCGAGCGCTTTCGTTTCCCCCCCTCAGAGTGAGCTGGGCGGTGGCTTGGGACCCGGAAGTGGAAATGCGCACGCCCCGGAAGTGCTAAAGGGTGGCGGTCGCTCTGAGGCGGACAGCTGGCTAAGACTTCGTGGGCCGCGGAGCCCGGCTGCCGTTGTTGCCGCCGCCGCCGCCATGTTTCTGACCGTGGCCAATTGTGAGTGGGCGGGGCAGGCGGCGGGGAAAGGCGGAAGGGCCCTTTGGGGAAACGGCTGCCTGCCGCGCCCCCGGGATGGATGGGCCTGGGCCGAGGCGCCATGGTTCCAGTAGCGCCGCTACTGGGATGGAGTAGGGTTGGGTGGGCCGGGGCTTGTAGTTCCTTACAGTGAAAGTTCCTTACCTTTTCAGTACAGTGGTACCTCAGGTTACATACACTTCAGGTTACAGACTCCGCTAGCTCAGAAATAGTACCTCAGGTTAAGAACTTTGCTTCAGGATGAGAACAGAAATCGTGCTCCAGCGTGCGGCAGCAGCAGGAGGCCCCATTAGCTAAAGTGGTGCTTCAGGTTAAGAACAGTTTCAGGTTAAGAACAGACCTCCAGAACGAATTAAGTACTTAACCTGAGGTACCACTGTACTTCGCAGGGGTCACTTCGCATGTGACACTTGATCCAAGGTCACTTGACGATGAAACAGGGCAGCTCGATGCGACCCATTGTATTACTTTTCCCTGGAAAGCACTTTCGCCTTCCGTTAAATGTTTTCCCCTGCCTTTCCTCCAAGCAGCTTGCGTGGTTCTCTCCTGCTGCTTCTCTTTCCCCTCCTCCCCATTTTATCCTCAAGACAGTCCAACGGGGAAGGTTAGGCTGAGAATCAATCGGTGGCTGACTCACCCGAGTGGGGATTTGAACACGGCCCCCCAACCTAAGTAACATTATCACCCCAATGCAGCACTCGAGCTCCCTGTATTTTAAAAAGGTAGCCATGATAAGCATGAATAATGTACTGCACTATACACATCAAGGCAAAAATCTGTAAGCAAGATGCTGACACAGACGGGCAGCGTTCTTTGAAGGTTCATGTATTGCTCACTCAGATGGGCAGGATGCAATTTCTTCTAAATATCACATTAAAGGTAAAGGACCCCTGACAGTTAAGTCCATTAGGCGTTACAAAAAGGAAAACCCAAGTTTGCCATTGAGCATGCTTTGCCAGGGAACCTTGGGCAACACCAGCTCCTTGGTGAGTTTTCCTGACCTACACATTTTCGTGTTCACATGGTGTTTTTTAGGTCACACCTAGGAATTTAAGTGTGCCTAGAGCCCTTTAGCCTCATTCACCAGCAGTTGGAAAAAATAGATGATTGATCTACATAGCACTAATTTTCATCATTTCCCTGTGGTTTTCACAACTAGAGAAAATCCCAGCAGCCCAGTTTGTATTCATGTTATCCATTGAATGACAGCTTGCTGCAGTTCATTTTCCATATCAGGATTTTGTTTTGGGATAAATGGAAGTATTGTGAATGCAGAGCATGCCTCTTAGTGTCACTGCCTCTCAGCCCAACCTGCTTCACAGGGTTGTTGTGGGGATTAAATGAGGGGGAGGACCATGTATACTACCTTGGGCTCATTGGAGAAAAGGTGGGATATAAATGCAATAAAAATAAATAAATAGAAAGTTAATATGCCTACTGAAAAGTATATATTTTGGCAGGCAAATAGGGACTCTTCCCAGTGAATTGTGTTAGAAGATAGAATAAGAGATTAACAAAACAAGGCATAAATTGGGGAAGGTCTGAAGCAAAGCTGTGTGGCAGAATGAAATATTGACTCATAAGAGGTGTTGTAGTGCCATCGATGAACTTTCTTAGTGAAAACAATTAGAATGGCATAGCACTATTGCTTTAGAAGAGGGATGGGGGAACCTGTGGCTGTCCAGATGTTGGGCTACAACTTGTTATCCTTGGCCACTGTCCATGCTGATTGAGGATTTAGAGCTTTGGAACCCAGCTTCTGTTCCAGCTTTCTGACCCATCTGCTTCAGATGGAAAAACACTTACACAAACAATTAAACAGTAGTTCTGTCTTGGTGTAGTTTGGTGTATCTTTCTGCATTTAGAAATGCATTTAAATAACAAAACAATTTCTCAGCAAGTATAATTTTGATAAGAAACATGATGGTAAAATAATTTCTCTTTTTCTTTCCTATTCTGCAAAACCAGTGGCCAAGAGCAAGTCAAAGTAAGTAAAAACTCCCTACTACTATGGTTGTTTTGCTTAGCATTGTAGTTGCAGTTATCAGTGTCCCAGTGCGGTCTTGGTACTTTTGTCTATGGAGATTGTGGATTTTCTGCAGTAGACTCTTGCTTATCTGTAGACGTGTCACTGCCATTCGTCTACAACTGGAAAGGACTTGTTCACAGAAGATTTCATGTGAGCAATGTGTATGAGGAATTGGGGCCTGATATAGCCTGATAGTGTTGTTTAATAACTCAGTAACAGTGTTGCCTGCAAATGATTTTGTTAAACTTATTGGCTAGTTAGGCAAGTACCTATTGTAGCAAGATATTTGGGCTTTGAATTGTTTGAGCAAGGTACTGTTCACTTGTGAGTAATAGTGACAATGGGCTCATGAGGAATATGCAGTGAAATCTTGAAGCCTGAAGAGAGAAACACAGAATGCTACTGTAGTAAAGTATGAGTTGTATCTATTTAAGTCATACTCAAGAGTTGGCCCATTGAAATTTGTAGACGTAAGTCATGCCTGTTGATTTCAGTGGGTCTACACTGACCATGACGTAGGGTAAAATCCTAACACAATTTACTTGGGTAAGTCTCATTGAACACTAGGACTTGCTTCTGATAGGATTGCCCTGTTAATTGGTTGCAGCTCTGTGGTACTCACGACTCTGAAAAACAGGACTTCATGGATCAGAGACAAGTCTAGTTCAGCTTTAAAATTAAGTACAGTTATATCTCTGCTGTGAAACTATATATGGTAGCTCATGAGTATTGCTGCAGAACTCTTACCACTTAAGCTGCTGGGTAAATTCAAGGGAAGACTCGCTCCTTCTGGAAGGAGTGATACTAAAGTTGCTTTTATTTTTGTTTTTTTTTTGTTTTTGTTTTTTTATAAGATATTTATTAGGATTTTTAAAAAATATTACAATAAAAAATAATAAAAATTTGGAGGGCACAAACCCTTGCATACAAATTGCTAATAGGTGGAGATGATAGGGAGAAGTTAAACAGTCTTGTAGAGTTCAAAAAAATCAGCCTTCAGTGGAGCTGTTGCTAAGCCCCTGCAGCTCTGAAAATATCCCTCTAATTCTAGTAGTTTAATCAAATTACTAACATGCATACTTAAAGACAGGTTTTAAGGGAACAAACTGACCAGCATCCAAATAAAGAGACTTAATAACAACCACCCATCTGTTGGATGGTGAAAAATCATTTGTGGTTCAGAAGATTAGGTCTGCAGTGTTTTACACACTTACCTGTGAGAAAGCCCCATTGAAGTAAATGGGACTTATTTTTGAATAGACATACAAAGGATTGCTCTGTTAAGAGTGTAAATATAAGCCTGTCTTAATAATAAAATAATGGAGAGTGCAGCCAAGCTGGTGCCAATCATATTGCTTTCCTTTCCTTTGGACCACATCAGTGAGGCCAAGAGGAGAGTCCTGTCAGCTGTGCAGCCCAGAACCTCCATACACACTGCCCAGGCTTGCACCCCAGAGAGGTCACTTTGGTGCTGCTAAAGCAGCAAAAACAATGTGGGAGGCAGCAGTTACGAGTTACCTATCTCTGCAGCTACAGCAGGCGCTATGATTCTCCAGTGATCTGACTTCACTCCTAGAGGTGCACTCCATTGTCTCTCAAGTCTGATGGATGCCAGCAAGGGGCTTAGCCATGTGGTCATCTTTTTTAGAAAGCACAGCTGTTATGTGTGTTTTTCAAATGCTGTTTTAATTTTGTTTTAGTGTAATAAGCAATGAAATAGAGGAGTTGTTATCTTTAATATTTATAACACTGATTGGTACTTTACATTTTATCAGACAAAATCTTTTGCAAATATAATTATAGTGAAGTTTTGGCAACATGTAACTTTATCTAAACTTAGTAGGAGGAAAATAAACTAAAATTGTTAACCATGCCTCTAGAAATTATATTATGAATTAAGGTAAAGCAGTAAGAATAAATGGCAGGCAGCAGTTCCACTTTTTGTTTATCGTTCTAGGTATATCCTTGTGCGGATGTTGAGTGAAGCAGGAACAGGTTTTGCTTTCAACATGAAAAGAGGCCGACTTGAAGAAAAGTTAGTTAAATTGAAATATGATCCTATAGGTAAGAAGTTGGGGGATGCTTTAGAAGGGGTATAAATATTTTATCTTAGCCACTTATTGAATGTGAATAGTATGCATATTCAAATTGTATTACAAACATTCATCCTTGAAATATCCTGGCAGTTTTAGAAGGAACAATGGGTCACAGTGTTTTCTTAAAAAATCTCTGAGCTGTATAGGATGACAGTGGCAGAGTGTGGAGTGGCACATAACAGTGGATGAAATCAAGACCTGTTCCCAACTGCATGAACTCTAGTGCTGCTTTATAAGATAGCTTGAAATGAAAATTATATTAACTTTTAGTCTTTTTTATCAAAGATAAAAGTTAAATTTTATATGAAATAGTAGCTTGTTTTTATAGGATGCTTTTTCAAATATAAAAGTTGTTTTTATTCTTCAGTTTTAAGTGATTGGTGCAATTGCTTCCCTTTTTTCTCTAGGGAAGCTGTAAAAACTGCAAGGATTTTAGCTTTCACTTAATAAAAGAGCATACAGAAGAGTCTAGAACACTTGTATTCACCAGCTTATTTATTGGCTAAAAAGCAAACTGGCCAATTCAGCAGCTTATTTACTAGCTTAAAAGCCACACAGTGGCCTTAAGTGCTCCTGGAAGCTCGTCTTTCCCATTGTTATTCTTTTTTTAATGATGCACATGTCTATGTGATAAGTCCAGGAACATATAAATACACATATTTTGATATTGCATTGACATGTTAAAATGCATTCATTTCACTATCACAGTTAGGAAAATGCTGTGGTGCTGGGAGAGATTTTCAGTGACACAATCCAAATGAGTTAAAATATTAACAGTAGACAATATTGATCAGCTTTGTAAATAGAAATTCAGGAGCTGGTCATCTGCCTTGCTCCTTGTGCAACTGCCCCTGCCCCGGTGGGCCATATTAGACTCAGCATTTAAAGAGTTAGGAACATGCACATTAAAGATGAATATGAAGAGGATGTGGGTATGTTTAGCTAGAATGAACTGCAGGTCTCATTGCTTATATAAGGCAATTGAAAAAGCTATTTTAGAAGTTACTATTATTAATTTACATACCACCCTTTATGCGAAGATCCCTGGGCAGTGTACAACATTAGGAACATAATTTACGCAGCATAATAAAAAATAATAATACAGAGCATAACAATACACAACATAAAAATTAAAGAATCATAATAACGGTCCTCCCATATTTAACAAGTCATAGATTATTTAATGTCCAAAGGCTTAAAGAGGAATGTTTTTGCCTGGCACCTAAAGACATGTAATGATGGCACCAGGTGAACCTCTTGGGTGGGGGGAGAGCATACTACAGATGGGGAGCCACCAGAGAAAAGACCCATTCTTGTATTTTCATCCACTGAACCTCTCAGGGATGGGGGACATAGAGAAGGGCCTCGGATGATGACCGCAGGTCTGGGTCTGTTAATATGGGGAGAGGCTCAGGGATTGAGGTCTTGAGGTATGTAAGGTTTTATAGGTTAGCACCAGCACTTTGAATTGGGCCCAGAAACTAATTGGCAGCCAGGATTGGCATTATATTCTCAAACCGTCTTGTTCTGGTGAGCAACTTGGCTTTCAAATTTTGCACCAGCTGAAGCTTCCAAACCATTTTTAGAGGCAGCCCCAAGTATGTCAGTGATGTAAACTGGACTAGAATTGTAAACACAGACTTATGTTTTCTTCCTTGTTTTAAAAGGAGACAATAGTAAAATTCTGTTTTTCCCCCATGGAGTGTTCTAATTCATAAGAACAGATACCCACCTGTATTTTTGACTGCTCTGCTGCTGTTTTTTTTAAACTGTGGTGTTGATTATTCATGCTTCCAAAAAAGCAAGATACATGGCAAGATACACATGACTTAGCTGGTCAGTGGTCAGGTATGTAGGTTTGATAAAGCCTTTTGAAAACCTAAACTAACTTTCTTTCATTTTCTGTCTATAGTTAAACAGCGTGTCCTTTTCAAAGAGCTGAAAAAGGTCCGTTCCCTGTAGACGACAAATGGCAAAAATGATTGATTCATACATGAGGCACACTCATAGGAGGAAATGCTAGCCCCGTAGTTCTCAGAAAGGAGAGGAAATGGACTGAGATGGCTGTCTCCTGTAATTTGAAGACCATTGTGAAAGAGAACAATGTAGAAAAAGAAAGTTTTTGGTGTCTAGCCATGGATCATCATAAGCAGCAACATATTTATAGTTAATTTTACAGCTCTCAATTTATATAAAAAAAATCAAATTCCCTTGTCTCTGTGTGTTTCATTTCAACACCACTGTGGAACTGCTTGCAGTCTTGAAATGTTTGTTTCACATAGCAATAATATTAAAAATTCTAGTAGGACCTTAGTCGAACAGTTTCCAAAGTTTTCTTAGGCGTCCAACCACACAAATAATCAGCAGCCAACTTCAAGGGGATGTTCCTTTACAGCTACAGCTTACTGGGTACATAATTACATCCAAGCATCTTGTCATACTTGAAAATGTTTCCAGTGAAACCAGTATTAAATTCAACTTCATTGAAGGCTTTTTTTGGAACAGCTAATTAATTTTGCCTAAAGCAGCCATTCCAAAAATATATATATACTTGACAGACAGACAGAGCGAGCTGCTACAATACTCCATTGCCTGGTCAGCTAGCCTTTCGTTAAGTATTTGTTGTGCTAGCAGGTCCAGTGTAAACACTGAACAACATTGTTTCTAAATTTATCAGCTGTGTTTTCCAACAAAGAAAATTCAGTTACCTAAGAAGTTTTATTCTTAAAAAAAAACTTGCCATTTTGAGATCACAACTTCAGAAATTATTTTGTGAAACATTTATTATAATTAAGGCATCATAACAACATCAAACCAAACTGCATCTCTTCACATCCCTTAACTGAGGAATGGGAGTGTCTCATTCACAGATCTGAAGTCAAGTATTTCACAGCGTCCTGGAAAGACCCTCCAGTGAATGGTACCCTGCACACCTTATTGGGGCCAGGACCTAAGTATAAGAATGTGTTCGATACAGTTGTCTCCTTTCAGATATATGTAGAAATTGTTGAAATTATACATTATCTTACAAATTGAAAATCAGTGGACCACCATTGTGACAGTGCAGTGGACAGGTTAGAATAGGTCTTGGGGCAAGTCCTTTCTATAGGGATAGGAAGCCTGTGTCCCTGTTGCTTGGACACTAATCGTCGCAATGAAGTTACTGTTCCCCAGCATTTCTTCTAGCGGCAGGTTGGGATAGTAAGCCAGGTAGAAAGCCAGTGCCCCCACAAAGCTGTCGCCTGCTCCCTGAAAAAGACAAACCAAAGTTACTGCTCCTTCAAACGTAGTTACGTAGAAAGTCCTGCAAAGGGAAAGTTTGCCTAAACAAACAAGTATTTTCATGAAATCTGAGTTTGAATATACATTTAAATTTGGATTTTATGAAAATACATTTATGTACATGTGTGCTCTGCAGTGAATGGCTAGAATATGGTGATGGCATATATACAGTGATTGCTGTAATTACAGTAATCTTGGATTACTATTTTCAGACACTAGTTGAATATTATTATTATATTTATTTATTTATACCCCACCCATCTGGCTGGGCTTCCCCAGTTGCTCTGGGCGGCTTCCAACAGAATATTAAAATGCAATACAATACAATACAATACAATACAATACAATATAATACAATAATCTATTAAACATTAAAAGCTTCCCTAAACAGGGCTGCCTTCTGATGTCTTCTAAAAATCTGGGAGTTGTTTTTCTCTTGACATCTGGTGGGAGGGCGTTTATTTCCCTACCTTAAAAACACAGAAGTACCATATTTTTTGCTCTATAAGACTCACTTTTTCCCTCCTAAAAAATAAGGGGAAATGTGTGTGTGTCTTATAGAGCGAATGCAGGCTGCGCAGCTATCCCAGAAGCCAGAACAGCAAGAGCGATCGCTGCTTTTGCTGCTCAGTGATCCCTCTTGTTCTTGTGGCTTCTGAGATTCAGAATATTTTTTTTCTTGTTTTCCTCCTCCAAAAACTAGGTGCGTCTTATGGTCTGGTACATCTTATAGAGCGAAAAATACGGTAAATGTTGACTCTCATGTATAAGTGACTTAAATTCACTGGTATCTTTCTGAGCTTGTGGACATGGAGAATAAAGTGATCAGTAGCTGCTACCCATGACAGCTATGTGACAAAATTACAAGTATTCTTTCTATTCTGATGGATTGGCTTATTCTATGTTATACAAGTCTCATAAATGTTTTATAAACTGTAATAAAGTTTCAACCACCTTACATATTACATATTAAAATACTATTACATATTACATATTAAATTACTAACTCATTTTAATATTATTTTTAATATTATATAATATTAACTATTTTAATAAACATATTAAAATACTAACTCAACAGCTTTGTGCTTGAGACCCACCTCCTGCTACAATGAGATATGAAGTTTATCCATCTATTCATAAGATGATGTTGGCTTTGTTTGCCTCCCTTACTTCTAAGATAATGAGTTAACCTAGCCATTGTCTCCACTTTTTTGCACAGAGAATGCTTGCTGCTCCTAACGTGTAAGAAATTTTTCACTTTCGGATTGTAAAGATGCCTTCACATACGCCAATAGTAATAAAAGATGCAGTGGAATGTGCTACTGAAAAATTTCATATGCTTGTCTTTTTTCTTATTTACATTACTATCACATATGAAAAAGAAAGTTGATTTTTTGAATTTTCAGCAAGTTGTGAGAACAGGCTGCTGGACTAGGTGGTTGTGTGGTTTTTGTTTTTTTTAGTCTGATCCAGCAGGGCTCTCCTTATGTATGATGTTCTTATTCACAAATTTTTGTTTCAAATGATCACCATTCATTGAACATTCTCCAAATGGCAGTACAAATCTGCAAGATATAATGTGAGTAGCAGGGACAAATATGAAATGGTGGCTTGGTGAAAAGATTAGCAAACCTCTCACATTAGTGGCATCTGTACAAGATTAGTCTTCAAGGTGCTTTAAGGGGAAGCAATACAAATACAAACGTATTTCAGACTCCAAACTTGTACAACCCACATTCCCCTGGTTACTTTCTAGGAGTCATCCTTAGTCTTTAAAGTTCTGCAGCCCAATGTATTAATACGTGCCTACCCACCCACCAAGTTTGTAGCAGAAGTGCCTTCATTCTGCTTTCCATGTGTAGTTCTTTAATTCTGAAATCCAGCTGTGCTTCTGTACAGCTGTGGGTTCTAAAAGGCTGTTTGATGCACTTCTGCTTCCTTCAGTTTATACAGCTGGAAATGTAAGCCCTGTGCTGGCTGCCTCCTGTCCCTACTAGCACTCATTGATGCGGCAGCAAAAAAGAAAGAAAAGAAAAGCTGATGCTAATCCAGGTTGCATCAACAGAAATATAGTGTCCAGATCAAGGGAAGTAATAGTAGTAATCTGTTCTGCCTTGGTCAGACCACACCTGGAATACTGTGTCCATTTTGGGGTGACACAATTTAAGAAGAATATTGACCAGCTAGAATGTGTGACCAAGATGAGAAAGGGGCTGGAAACCAAGCCTTATGAGAAAGGGTTGAGGTAGTTGGGTATGTTTAGCCTGGAAAAGAGGAGAGGAAGAGGAGATATGATAGCCTTCTTCGAATGTCTAAAAGGACTGTAATGTGGAAGATGGAATAAGCTTGTTTTCTCCTGCTCTGGAGGGTAGGACCCAAACCAATGGCTTCAAGTTACAAGAAAGGAGATTCTGACTAAACATCAGGAAGAACTTTCTGATGCTAAGAGCTGTTCGATAGTAGAACGGACTACCTTGGAAGGTGGTGGGCTCTACTTCCTTGGAGGTTTTTAAACAGGTTGGATGGCCATCTGCCATGGATGCTTTAGTTGAAATTCCTCCATTGCAGGGGTTGGACTAGATGACCCTTTGGATCCCTTCAATGAATGCACTCTGCTGGGCCACCACCACCCTTGTGTCTGAGGGTGGTGGAACTACCAAGGCACCCTCCACCCTTATAACCAGAGAAGGGGAAGGAGGCGATCTTTTAGTTCTCAGCCTATGGGTCTCAAAGCCTGTGCAAGTAGATGGCAGGCAGGCTTCATAAATAAACCCTAAACAACTCTTGCTTTTAATCCTCAACTTGCATGACAATACCTCTTAGAACTTTTTGATTTGTCGTCATATTATAATGCTGTGTTGACACTTGTAACCAAATGTAGGAAACGCTTGTGTTAACACTTGGGAACTGCTTAGTCAGAATTTGTCCACAACTTTTCTGCTGAAGAAACAGAGATGTTTGAGTGGGTGGAAAACCCATTTGCAGCTGATGCCACAAAGTTGTTTTTACCTGTTCAAAAGGAACAACTTATCGAATAGCCATGTGATTTGACCTTCAAAGACAATTTTTTTTGGAAGTGAGGTTTTCTGAATTTTGGTTTCATTTTACACACACACACACACACACACACACACACACAACTTAGTTACTATTGAGTAGCCTGAGCTTGTGGCTTAAGAAATGCTTGTGCTTTCATTTAGTGGTACAGATTTTTGAGAAGCAGGTTTTTCTGCAGAGACTACTATGAAGATGAAATAAAAGGCTATGTATCAATAATGATCTGAGGTTATGCCTGACAACCATCAAACCCTACACATTGTCAAAAAGCAAGCTCAGCCATCCCACTAATACTTGCCCAAATTGGCTTTATTGTGGAAAAACTATTTTAAATATTCAGTTTGTTATATTTAACACCACTTGTGTAACCATATTTTTTGGACCAGATTTTTATAACTTAGGAAGCAATATCTTGCAATCAGAAGACTGGTATTCTTACATTCCCATTAAAAACTGTTAATAACTTTCTAAGTACTATAAATAGTTCAACGAATTCTACGTTAATAGAGGCGTTAAGTAAATTCGGATGCCTTGGGTAATGGTTATAAATAGGCAAACTTACATTTAAGATGCATGAAACTGACAGCTGCTGAAGACTAAAAGTCCAAAATTCATGTGATAATAGAATGATGGGTCACCACGCCAAGCAAATTTGGACAGTGGGAGCCACTGTTTTAGTTAACCCTCCACGAAAACTTGATCCACATTCCGCTAACACAGGAGTGGGGAACCTCAGACCCAGGGGCAAAATGCAGCCCTAACAGGCCTCTGGGTAGCCTTTGGGGCTCTCTCCAGGCTGCACCTTCTCATCAACCCTGCTTCAAGCCATGAGTGTTTTTGCCTGTGTTTTGGAAAGTGTCCTCGCAGTCTAATAATGCTTCTTGCTTACTTGGATGGAGGTTAGAGATGGGTGGGTGTATAGGAAGATTGCCCAGAAGTAAATGTGGCCCTTGGGGTGAAAAACATTCTGCAGCCTTGCAACAACAAATCCCACTGAGTCCAATGGTTCTGTTCTAAGCATGACCAAGGCCCCATCTGCACTGTATCATACCACTTTGAACAGCCACGGCTTTCCCCAAAGGATCCTGGGAAATGTAGTTTGTGAAGTGTGTTGAGAATTGTTGGGAGACACCTATTTCCCTCACCATTTCTGGAATTCCCTGAGAATTCTGCTTGGAGTCGTGGGGTGCAGATAGGCACCCTGACATTTCCCTGTGGGGAAAGTCCAATGTCCCTGTGCTTTTAAAATGAAAGTGGAGTTATAAAGATGTGGAATATGTGTACAGAGAGAAATTACTCTCTGTCTCAAAAGAACAGTTGGATTTTCACGTCAAGATTCCTTGGCAGCAGGTTCAAGACTGACGAAAGGGAATTTTTGGAAACCACAAAATTATGGAATGCATTTCCCACAAGATTTGCTGGTGGCCACTTGCTCAGCTGCAATTTTTATTTTTTTTAAAGGCGTAGACGAAATCATAAAGGACAATCCCTAGCAAAAGCTTATTTAGTCACTGCAGCTAAGAATGGATCCTTCGTATACAGAGACAATCTCTCTCCCATGTTAAGGGGGTGGGTGGGGGTGCTTTTTATTTTCCTGCTCTTATTTGGCAATAGTAGCTGTATTTTATTTCCTGCTGCAGCTTTAGCATCAACTTGTAAGGGATGTTTTATCTTTGTTGCTAGCCATTTTGAGCTCTTTGGAGGAAAGAGACAGCAAATATGTTTTAAAAAAAATTAAAAAAAATCCCACCTTCTTTCTCAGTTACTCTGGAGAGGTGATGTCTTTCCTAATGGCCTTGAATCAATACTGGCACAAAATGTCGGTCAGCCTTATACAGAGTCAGACTTTTGGTCCATCTATCTCCCTTCTTCTTCTTTGGTGATCACTCGTAGCCTAGTAAGATTGTCTTCCATAAACACAGTTTTAACAATGAGTCCATAAGTGACTGTGGAGGCCAATTCTGGATCATCCACATTGGGGACATTGGTTACTGGGCGGGAGCTAATCACGGTGTGGATTTGCCAAACGTGCCTTCCTATTAGCACATTTCTCCCTTGCTTCCTGAGTTCGAGTGTCTTCAAAGCCCATGACACCTTCGGTAAAGGCTGTTCTCCAATTGGAGCGCTAACAAGGCAAGTGTTGGTGTTTATACTACATTTTTTAAAATTTGCTTTGAGACAGTCTTTAAATCTCTTTTGTTGACCACCAGCATTACGCTTTCCATTTTTAAGTGCGGAATAGAGTAGTTGCTTTGGAAGATGATAATCAGGCACCCACACAATATGACCAGTCCAACGAAGTTGATATTGAAGAATCATTGCTTCAACACTGGTGACCTTTGGTTCTTCCAGTACACTGATATTAGTTCGCCTGTCTTCCCACTATTGCCTGCTACACTGGCTGCCAGTGGCTCTCCACAGTTACAGAGACGGATCTCTCCCAGCCCTATTTGAAGATGCTGGTGATTGAACCTGGGACCCTTCTGCACGCAAAACAGATGCTCTACCACTGAGCTATGGCCCTCCTGTCATTAAAGGAAAATACTTATTCACGCAGCACATATGGAACTTGCTCCAACAGAAAACGGTGACAGCCACAAACCTTTAAAAGAGGATTAGACAAATTCATGGGAGAGAGGGCTCTTGATTGCTACTAGCTATGATGGTCCTGCTCTGCCTTCATGGTTGGAGGCAGCAGTGCTCCTGAATAGCAGTGGCTGGAAAACACAGGAGAGGAGAATGCTCTTCTGCTCAATCCTGCTTGTGGGTTTCTCATGGGCATCTGGTTAGCCACTGGGAGAAAGGGATGCTGGACTAGATGGGCCAGTGGGCGGATCCAGCAGTCTCTTCTTACTTCCCCCTGAAGGTGAGGTAAGGTGATCTTTGGCTTCCACTGTCTAATGGGCACACAGCCTTTTAGGTTTCAGAATTCTGAAATGTTAGGCGGAATAGACTTGTGAGGGACAAAGCTGAGTGAACTCAAACAAGTATACACTGCAAATATAACAGGTTAGTCAGTGGCTCATGAAGCCATGATGGCTTTATATAACAGTCTAAGAAGCTCTTTAAGGACAAGTGCATTATAACTGGAAATAGTCTTATGGGACAGCCTTACTTCCCCTCTGTGAAGAACTTGCCAGCCAGTCCACTTTAAAAATAAAAGGATATTCTTCATTGTACAAAATAAAACACTTTGCCAAAAGGACACTTTGGACTGCAAAGATAAGGGTATGCTACACGTTCCCTCAACAACAACACTCAAGCCAGCAGTGGCAACCTCTGCCAACCTCTTTTTCAGAGTTATTTCCTCTTAGGGAAGAGTCATTGTGCAAATCTCTAATAATATTCATCAGTCATTTAAAAAAGAATATGGAACTGGAATCCAGAAGTGTGAAATCAATGTGCAAGTCAAATTCTGCTCTGGTGACCCCAATTGTCGATTTAGGTACTTTTTCTGCTTTGTCGCACTAATTGCATTTAAAATGATAGCAAATGCTGAAAGGGATGAAATATATTTAAAGACATCAAGGGGAAATGACAGCTTTAACAGAGTGATGTAATAAAGTCGTGGACAAGACCAGAGCCACTGCACTCAGTGGAAAATGCAGCAGAAAAAAAGAAAGGAAATTTACTTTAAATGGTACTGTTCTATCCTTTCTGCGTCCATGTGCGTTCATGGTTAAAGGCGGAAAAAGTTGGCTTTGATGGAAGTGCAAGAGAGGGATACAATTAGTTCCAGTGTCTCTCCCACAACAAATACAAATGTGTGTGTTTGTAATGGCAGTTAAACACTTGCATGTAAAGTGTAGTCTGGGTATCAGATCTGGAAGTCAGATCAATGCGAAACACTGCTAACTGCAGTTTTTCCAGAGAAGAGCAGTACAGGCACATAATTTAGCTTCCTCAGAAGCACACTTTTATTTTTATTTTTATAATGTACACTTCTAGACTTTTTGGCTCTGGAGAAATGGTTGAAAGTGTGTGGGGCAATGACTAAAACAGGAATGGGGGCACTTCCCCCATGATGTTCACCTTCCAAGGGTCACTTGCCAGTGGCAGTGGGGGTCAGAGGCAAGAGCAGGCAGAGCAACAAATGTAAAATTTACCTTTGTGCAGTAGACTAGTTTCTACACACAACCACACACCCCTCTTTATCTTCCATACAGACAAGCAGGAGGCAACATCGGGGTCCAAGGGTGTAATTCTAGTCAGGCAAAAACAATTGGGTGCAAAGTAGGGCCTGTGAGGGCTGTGGCCTGAGGAGAATTCTGAGGATCAGGCTGAGAGGCCTGGTAGGCCACATTTGACACCCAGTCCTGAGGTGACCTACCCTGGCCTAAAACCTTTGAACCCAGAAGCGTGGCTGAAGCTGGTTTCTGATGGGGCTCCAGTGCCCTGCAGAGCTGCTCCCATCCCCAAATATCTGAAGATATCATGCAAAAGTTTGCATCTTGTCTAACTTTGCATTATTTATTCTCATTATGCATTTTATCACACATACAGTATTTTGACTACATGGGTGCTGGGGTTTTTTTTTAGTAGCACAAACAACTTTAGATCAGAGTTTGCACTGTTCAATATTTCCAGTGGCAGGTTCCCCTGAATAACGAAAAAATAGATATTTTGGGAAGGCTGACATAGGATGGTGGAATGGAGATTAAATCCAGAACACCACCATGTTTTGTTGGTCTCCTGTAGCTGTATGTCCTTGTGCTCTTTCACCACTTAGTTCCTTACTTTTAAAGCATTCCCAGTATAGGCTTGTGTAGTTTCATAGCCAAAGGACCCAAGGAAAGTGTCCATAAATTATGTTTCAACTTGTTTCATTCCTCAACAGTAGAAGGTAAAACATGCATCTGGTCTGTTTCAATTCTGACAATCCGCTTCTCAATTTTTCTTTCAATGGCCTCGGCCAACAGCTCTTCTCCCTCTTTTTGTTCCTTGCTGTTCTCTCATTCTTTTCTTCAGTTCCTTTAACCTCTTCTTTTTTGCTTTTTGGTCATTGATATCCTTATATTTGTGATAGCAAAATTCTGTTTTACTACGCACAGAGTTTATTATGATTATTTTTGAATCTCTGCAGTACCTGTCATTCCATCCAATTTTCTAGCATCTGCAAATATGACATGCATATCTTTACTTCAAGTGATTCATGGTCATGCCAACGTCAAACTGCACTGAATCTTCAATAAAACAACTGAGAATAACCTTCTGCCAATTGATATTGATCCATGTGACTGCTTACAAGCTTGGTGTGATCTGTTCCAAATGCACCACAGATAGATGTTTTGGACTACAAATCCCATCAGCCCCAAGCACAACAGACATAGTTTTACTTTTCATGTTTTTCCCCCTACCTACAGGTTGCTGGAGATCTATCAATCTTTCAAGAGCTCACAATGTTATATATTTTATTGACTTCAGATTGGTTCAAGTATAGTCAAGTATTTGGATTTCTGTTAGAACTCCACAGTTAGGCAGCTACTACAGTGACCTTCATATCTGTGGAGGGCATGTATATCAGACAGACACAACCAGACCATGGACTGTTGCTAGGAAAGTATGCTAGTGCAATACTTTGCATCAATCCTCAGGAATTTGTACCCACTTCCTGACAGATTTCCTGATGGGTTATTTGCAAACGATTAAATGGTGCTGACTGTTAACCCCATGCATTCCTGAGAGATGAGCCCAGATAGAGTGTCTTGAAAACATCCTACTCCACAAAGCCATTCAAGATCAAAGCAGAACAGGGATCTGGAGAGTCATCTAGCTTGTGGTGTACCTTGCGAAAGAACTAAAGAGATAGGCAACTATCAATCCTGGGCAATCTCTCCCCTCCCTTCTGTACACTGACCTAAAAAGAGCTCTGTAGCCTGATAATTCTTGTAATCTCTGTAACACTTTGCATTCTCGAGGCCCATCAATCACCTGGAATACAGGAAAGGTCTCATTTTTTAACAGACTTGGGAACAGGCACAGCGATAAAGCATACATTTTTTGGAAGTGTCAACTGGTTTTGAGGATCCAGACTACCATACATCTCTGATTTCTAAATAGTTAGTGCAACTCTTGTCTTGCAGCACATTTTATGGGACATTCATGAAGGCTTTACTTGCTGTTCAATGCAAGTGTGTGCATGGTCCTTAGTTGATTCACCTGGTTGTAATTTACCAAACTTGCCAGCTGACATTTCTGGCACGGTGATCTTGTTCTCATCTGCATGTGGCACAGGCCTACTGACCATGGGATAACCTGTTAGAATTGTTGGACAGAAGATACCTGCTTCATTAGACAGATAAGAACTGAAGGTCTGATGCTGTGCAAACTCCCAACCTTTAGCCTTGTTGTTGGAACTGAGCACTCAGTACTTCAAGAAGTCAATTATTCTGTTTCCAGTTGGGTAGTTGATTTGCCCAGTGCTGAATAATTTTTTATTATAATAATAACAACAACAACAACAACAACAACAACAACTGATGTTCAGGAACTTGGCACTGTCTTTTTCCGGGGGGGGGGGGGGGAGAGAAGAACCTCAGTATTCATTTACATTAATTTGTACTGTGATCCACAGAAGTTACCCTCTATTATCCAAGTACTGAAGAATCTTTGTGAAATATTTGCTAAGAAATGGGGTGTGTGCGCATGTGTGTTTGTGTGAATTGTTCATGCCTTCCTGCTATGATCGCTTTGATTCTGAGTCAGGTCTTTCAGAAAACTATGGATGTGTCATCTCATAGTGAATCCTCTTTTCCTCTGACTTGCTGATTTGATCATTAAGAACATAAGTACACTTATGGGGAATCAGACCAAGGATCAAGCATCATTTTGTCTCAGCAACTGGTACTCAGAGGGACACAGACTCTAAATAGTAATCCTACTCTCATAGGTGAAGAAGAAGAATTTTATTATTTATATGCCTCCCATTTGGCTGGGTTGCCAGTGATAGCTGTTTATCAGACATATCCAGGACTGGTCTAAAGAAGTCCATGGTCATCAAAACATCTTGTGCTAGTGTATTTCATACACAAATCATGAACTGTATGAAGAAGAACGTTCTTTTGCCTGTCCTGAGTCTAAAGCTAATCAATTTAACTGGGCAACCCCAACTTCTGCTAGGCTGGGGCTGATAGGAGGGCACCAGCTTGGAGTAGTTTGGAGTAGATTATAAAAACAAAGGCTGCTATCCTGTTTGTCACTTTCGGAAGATTTGTGGTGGTATGCATCATGCTGGAAGCAGTGTATGAACTAGAAGGCAGTACAAATATTTATCATTGCCCAATTTGCGGATACCAGCCTAAAACTGGGCCTGGCTTTACCACCAGGAAGAGCAAGGCAACCAGAGGGCAGGAAATTTCCAGCTGTTTAATTTATTATTATACTTTTGACTGCACAGGTGAGGTGATGTTTCACTCTGGTGGACCAAAAGGTTTGGTGCGATGGAAATTCAAACAAATATTCCAAATACAGATGGTCCGCACTTGATCTCTAGGCCCCTGGGATTCTTCCACTGCTAAGGAGCACCAACATCCTCCCCCCGAAAGATGAACAGCTATAGGTCTGCTTATCACTCCATGTGCACCGCAGAACATGCAATGGAAAAAAGCCCAGTTCCCTGGTATACATTTCTGTGGAAAGAGATAGATGGTCATTATTTATTTTGCCAGTTTTTATCTTTCCCGTATACAAAGATCTTGAGGTGAGTACTGCATTAATAAAACAAACAAACAAACAAACAAACAAACAAATTTTCAAAAGGGGGTTAAGAAATAGCCAAGTCAGAGTGCCAGCAGTGTGGGAGCCATCTAAATTTCAAGGGCAAGGGCACTGCAGGCTTAGGGTGCAACTACAGACAAAGCCCACCTATGCTTTGTGTGCGCAGTTTCTGGAGTGGAATCTTAAGCTGGGCCTCCTTTGAGAATCGTTGTAATGTGGTTCTGGTTGGTGGCTCCACTCAAAAGGAAGGCCATCACATTTTGCCCAAGTTACAAGTCATCTTCAAGGGCATCCCTATGTAGAGTGTATTGCAGCAATCCAAACAGGAGGTTATCAAGAGCATGGATTATGGTGGCCAAGCCATCCTGGTTCAGAAACTGTTGTAGCTGGTGAGCTAACTGGAGCTGGGCAATGGCACTCTTGCCATGGAAGGCACCTGTGACTCCAGTGACAAGGTGGTATCAAAGGACACTCTCAGAATATGCACCTGCTCTTTCAGGGAGAACCCAGCTCCACTAAAAGGAGCCTGTTCCCTTGATTCCTGGACCTGAGAGCAACTATGCCACAGCACCTCCATCTTACCAGGATTTAGTTTCAGTTTATTAGGCTTCATCATAGCAGCTAGGTATCAGTGCAGAAGCTGCATGGTCTCACCTGACTGATGAAAAGCAGAAGTAGAGCTCTGAGCCATTAGACATGTCCTGTGTTTAACATGTCTAAAGAGAAGCGCCTGAAGCTATGAGAAGTTCCACCTTTTGCCGTGACAGCTCTTCTCCCTTGTTCTACATATACAGTGCCTGGTTCCAGTGACTCAGTAATGAGGGGCAGGCCCTCTGCACATCCCCATAGGCATTCTTTTTTTATTATATCACACACACCCCAGGATAGCCCTGGCAGTGAATGCAATGTTCTGCGGCCGAGCCCTGGTCAAATTAAGGCCTAGGGCTGCCTTGTGTTTGAGCTACAAGGCTCTCTTTAAACTCAGAGGGAGGGCATGACGAGATATTGATTTTCATCAATGTCTTGATTTTATGGCATTGTTCACAATTCCCATCCCTCCAACAGCTGGATCTCCATTAAATGTTTCGTTCCCATCTGGAAGGAGACTATGAAAGGCTTGCAGGCCCTCTCCCCCTTAAAACGAGAAATAGAAAGGGATTTAATTAGGGAGCTGGGTGGCTTAGAAATAAGACCAGACCATGACCTGGGTGGTCTTCCAGCTCTCCCGCTACATACGTTAAGATTGCAAGCAGCACCGTACAAACCCTTGTTTACATTTGCTCAATTTGCTTAAATTACATTTCCATTCATTGATCAAAAAGCCATTTATACTAAGTGGGGAAAATGCCTTTTTTTAATCATATGGTGCTGTCTTGTACTAGTCAGGGCAGGCCCTTGGGATCCAGTATTACAAGGCTTAGCATCTGGCTGCGTGGCAGTGAATCAAAGAGCAACCTTTGGCAACGCATCCGTTGCTTCATTATGTCGAGATGATCTTTGAAAAATCTGTGCACCTCCCGATGCTTCATTTATCCTCTTTGCAAATTAGGGATAATGATGCCTTCTGATCTCAAAGGGTAGTCAGATGCCCCAAGGTTTGCAAGGGACTTTGAAAATGCTCAGATGCACAATACAGGTCTGTTAGCAAATAGAAGAAGAGAAAGTCCCCCGCTTTCTTCTGGAATGATGCCCAGAACAGCCCTAGTGCATGACAAGGAGCTCCTACACAACACTGCAAATGCATGTGACAATTACTCATTCTCCTTCACATTTGGCTCCTCGTCCACAGGAATACCTGCAAAACATATTGACTCCAGCATCTCTCGTCCTGTTAAGAACCATCTGCATGTGCAGAGCCTGACTAATCCCTCTGGCCTTTAAGATTCTATACTAAAAGCTATACTTGTGTTAGCCCCAATGCAACATCAATATGGCACCAGGTCCAGTTCCCATATAATGGAAAGTGAGGGACCGGTAGCCTTGCTATGTAGCAGGAAAGCTATTTGTTGAACTGATTGGATGAGGAACAATCATGTAGCATTCACTGAGTAAGCTTCTCTTTGCTGCTCAGACTTGGCAAACAGATGCTACAGTCAAGCAAGCACTCTCAGTTGCTCTGAAAGGTTGTGATGGAACAATGGCAGGAGTCCAGGAGACTGATGATATCCAGTTGTGTCTGGAACGGGAGGGCAATCACTTACTAAAAAATGTTCCCTAAAAAATGGAAGGCTGGAAATGGACCTGATAGCTGGCTGGGAAGTCTGCATCCATTGCCGATTTATTTTTTTCTTTTAGCACAATCTCAAGTAACTGTAGATTTGAGGCTAAATGGCAGAGATGATGAACCTGAGACCTTCCAGAAGGTATTGAACCACAACTCCCTGCTTAAGGAAGTTTTTAATGTTTGATGTTTTATCATGTTTTTAATATTCTGTTGGGAGCCGCCCAGAGTGGCGGGGGACACTCAGCCAGATGGGCTGGGTATAATCATCATCATCATCCCTAAGCACTGTCCATCCTGATGGGAGTTGATGTCCGGCAATTCCTGGAGGGCCACAGGTTCTCCATCCCCGCCCCTTCTGTGGAAAAAGGCCCTGCTGCAGTAGTAGCCACGATACCCAACACGCCACTTTCCACTGTACGTCCCACTGCAAATAATGCACTATCTAGAAGGTCGCTTTCCTAGCGACAGATGCAAATGCCCTTGGCAACAGAAGCACTTCCTGAAGGAAATACATCCGGATCCCCTGAAACCCATGAGCAACAAGTGCATGTTTATTGTGTGGAAAGAAAAGATCATCCGGAAAGGCTCTGAGGGGTCTGTATCAGGATCAGAAGCTGGGATGATCTAAGGGACCTTGGTCTGCTATAAAGTGAGTCAAGTCAGAGGGGATGATTTTGAGTCATGCGATGTTCGTGGCCAGCCTGAACTTTAGAAAATAATAGATGCAGTGTTAAATAAAATTTAATAGCTGCTGATTGGAGCAGCTGGTGGGTTAATTTATTCTGTAAGGCTCTTTGTATTACAAAAAATTCATTGGATTGCATATTTGTAGGCGAGAAAGCAGAAGGCTAAGTCACAGGGTTATTTTGGCTGCATGATAAATAAAGGGAGCTATTATACTATCACTATCTGGGGCGTAATTTTTTACAATAATACTCTCCACCTCACCATGCTGGTGTGTGCAATTAACCACAATTAGAGCCCAGTTGCTCGCCTACTGCTAACAGCTGCCACAGCTAACAGGCTTCTCACACTGTGGTCAAGGCCATTTTTTCACTATAGTGCAAACAGCTATGGTAGGAGAAAGGTTAACCACCCTCCTTTGGTGAACTGCAGAAGTCTCCCTCAGACACTCTGTCTGCCAACTGCTTCATTTACTAGCAGCTGTTTTCTTCCCCATTGTCAGGAGGATAACTGAAACAAAAATCACTGTTCTTTGGGCAAACTGCATGCTAGATAGCAAGCTCCGAGGGATATTATTGAATAGCAAAGGCATTTGATAGTATTAGAACCAACCACAGGTTCCACTTCTGCTGATGCACAGAATTTTGAGCAATTAGTCACTGGATTAAGTTCAGTATTTATAACCCCCTGAGTCATAGCCGTTAGGCCACAAAGTTGGGAAACAAAGAAAGGTTGCTGTTTTGTTTTTTTTAAAAAGACTCTCGTTCAGGGTTTATTTGCGTATGCTTCCATTTTATTTCAGTAGCCATTGCAATTTCCTGGCTTGGTTCTCATCCAGAATTTCTGGAAAACTTCTGGAAAACTAACGGAATGGAACGCATGCTCAGCGCTCATTTCCATGTATTTTGATTCCAGATAAAATCCTACATTGGCTCCCAGTACGTTTCCGAGCACAATTCAAAGTGTTGGTGCTGACCTTTAAAGCCCTAAACGGCCTTGGTCCAGTATATCTGAAGGAGCGTCTCCACCCCCATCGTTCTACCCGGACACTGAGGTCCAGCACTGAGGGCCTTCTGGCGGTTCCCTCACTGCAAGAAGCCAAGTTACAGGGAACCAGGCAGAGGGCCTTCTCGGTAGTGGCGCCTTCCCTGTGGAACACCCTCCCACCAGATGTCAAAGAGAACAACAACTACCAGGCTTTTAGAAGACATCTGAAGGCAGCCCTGTTTCGGGAAGCTTTTAATGTTTGATGTATTATAGTATTTTAATATTCTTTGGAAGCCGCCCAGAGTGGCCGGGGAAGCCCAGCCAGATGGGCGGGGTATAAATAATAAATTATTATTATTATTATTATTATTATTATTATTATTATTATTATTATTTGTAGCCCCCTGAACCCAGAAAATTACAGGAGTAAAGTGACAGAATTTGGGGCGGTACCCTAGCATTCTTTCCTGCTCTTTTCATGGGGGAACAGAAGCACACACATGTGGAAAGGGTGGGGGAATAGTGATAATGTCCAATGGATGACATTCATTGTTGTGTCTCACCACCACGCCCACTGGTATGAATGAAATTTAGAGCAATATGCTGGTATATCAGCCAAAAAGCCACAATTCCATAACACAACAGGTACTGCAATGTGAAAACGGGACAGAAATGCTAGGAGGAAAACTAACACGGTATTTCCATGTTTGAATGCACCGTACCAGTGGCGGCAGTGAATGGAGGTGTGTGGAGGCCTTGCTGGGCCCCTCCAGACTGGTGGGGTTTTTTGCAGGCATATTTGCTTCAAGGTCATTAATGTAATGCTATTAGTGGCGGATTTATTCTACGCTGCCCACACACCATTCTGCTTTACCAGCTGTTCTGCAATGGATCTCCAATATCACCCCATTATCTGGAGGGGCGCCCTTGAACCGTAGTGCATCAAAAGAGGGACAACCAAACAACCTGCCCCACCACCTTGCAGAACATTTGTGGTATGGGTATTTAAAGGATTTCGGTGGGGAGCTGTGAATCATGCACCCACAGAAAATGAAGCGGTATGTCTGCTCCAAAACTTCAGCGGGTGTAAACAATATCAAAAGCAGGATTACGTATAACTGCCCCAATAACACCACAAGCACAAATACACATGAATGCATAATAACAATAAAGAGAAGTCTGAAGGGGTTCATTATGAGTCCCCCACCTCGGCCTGGAAGATACTTGCTTTTTCCAGACGCCACAACAGAAAACACTATTTTTGCAACTGACCACCTTCCCATAAAAGCACTTTATGGAGAATGCGAGAAACCTACACCTGGCACAATATATTCTGCTGCCTGAGGCAGACAAAATACCCCCCACCCCCCGTCCTGCTATCTGCATATAGACGCCACTAAGACTTGTGAACTGAAGCTGATGGGACAACATTCTCCACTTTATCTGAGGACACCAGGCTAGGTCATGGGACGCAGGACAGGTGGCACATGAACCTTTGCCCTCCAGCATCTCCTGACCCCCAATATCTCCCACCAGGGGCCATCACACTCACTCAGGTGTGGAGAACCTCTGGTCCTCCAGATGTTGTTGAACTACCACTCACATCAGCACAGCAAGCAAGGAGGGCCAAAGTTTCCCCATACCCTACTCAAACTAATGGGAGGCCCATATCCCTGTCCCTGAGAAACCACCACTACAGTCGGCTGTTAATATGGTGAAATGTACAGTATATCAATCTTACTGTAACGAAGAGCTCCCCTTGCATCTTGTTACAAAATGAAAGGTGGCAGAGGGAAGTTTCACACATATTGTGTGAGTGACATTTCAGGATTCTGGCAACATGACCTATTACAGACAACCACAAAACTTCAGACGGAAGGCAATTAGACAGGAGACATTTCTGCTTGTTGCAACATTCTGGTGTAACAAAACAGGTGAAAAGGGGGTGGTTTTATCTTAAGAAGACCATTATCTCCTCAGCTTACTTAAATACACCCCTGTGTTTTTGCTGTTTAAAATAAGAGAAAAAACAGTGTATGAGTTGGTGGAAGGAAATGGATGGCAAGTTTTGAACACATCAATTCCCAGTGGAATTTTCTTATCTGTGATTTAAATTGTGACTACTAAAATTATGACTACTAATCATATGCGTGTTTATTCGGAAGTCTCTTTGATTTCAGTAGGACTTACTCCCTAGTTAGTGTGCACAGGATTGCTGATGAATGGGTGCAAGCTTTTACATGTATGGCACCCGACATCCTTCCTCTAGTATCCCATCCATTGGCAGGTGGGCCAGTGTGGATCTAACCCAATATTCTGTACTAGATGGGCCCTTAGTCCAGGCAGGCTCTTCTTACATGTGCTGAAGAAATATAATACAGTGGTACCTCGGGTTACAGACGCTTCAGGTTACATACTCCGCTAACCCAGAAATAGTACCTCGGGTTAAGAACTTTGCTTCAGGATGAGAACAGAAACCGCGTGGTGGCGGCATAAGTGGGAGGCCCCATTAGCTAAAGTGGAACCTCAGGTTAAGAACAGTTTCAGGTTAAGAACGGACCTTCATTCTGAATTAAGTTCTTAACCCGAGGTACCACTGTAATAATAATAACAACAATAACAATAATTTTATTATTTATGTCTATTATTATTATTATTATTATTATTATAAGTTGTATTATTCATATACACCATGATAAGGCAAGACCTGATTTTGAAAGCTTTTTGAAGCCCAAAAGATACCAACACAATGTTTCTCTGGGGAATCTGGTTTATAATATTTGTGAAACTGGCTTCCAGTTCCTGTTCCGCACCATGGCGATGGCTCTCTCAACATCGGTGAGAGGCACAGGCTGAAAAAAGGGAATAGAAGGGATTAAACTATCCCCTATAAACCTCTCGGGTACGGGAGGTACTGGCGACCCACGGTCGCCTCAATGGCTCGCCCCCACACGGATCAGAGTGGGGACGGGTGGAGGCACTGGGTGCTACACACTTCACCTGATGTGAACCCCCCCCCCCAAATCACCATTGGACGTGGAGGCTCTCCTTATAATTGGATTTTAATTGGCATTAGGCACACACCGGAGGAGATGGACATTATAACTGCGAACAATCAGCTGCATGGAACTGAGGTTTGAAATTGGGAGAAGATTCTATCTTGAGTTGGAGGTGGATGGAAGAGAGGGGGGCTCTCTGCTACGTTTTATGGGAATTTTTACATTTATGATTTGGCAACCCTCCCCTAATATTGAATTTTAAGATATACAAGCAAGGATGGTTTGATGTACGTTGTAAAACTGGGATTTAAAATATGATGTAAAGCTGCTTGCGGCTTGAAAGGAGTCAAGGGAGAGAGAGTCTGGTTGTTTCGTTTGGAAGGGTGTTGCTGGGAATTAGAGCCTACGCCCCCCACCCCTAAAAAAGAGATCGTGGAGATGTTGAGATATAACCTTTTTTCCCTTCTTTAAAGCAAAATGCTATGGTAGTGGCAAAAGGAAAGTGGTGTGAGGGGTTTTTGGGTGCTGGAAGAGGAATGGCGCTGTCTTCCCTTCTGGAAGAAGAAATGGCAAATCTCTGGAACTTGTCGATTTGGTGCCAGTGGGAGGGAGGGATCTGCTGTTGTCGATTTGGAACTGCTTGAGTATTATGGGAAAGAGCTGAGCAGGAGAAGGAAGAGGGCTTAACCTTGAAGTTGCAGCTCCACCCCAACCAAGCTGGAATAATACAACAGTGGGAATAAGGAGATAGCCCCAAATGCTACAGGATAAAGGAAAACATCAGAGAGACACATAAGGCCAAGAGACTAACAACCGACTTTTGGATGTGGCACACGCAGGATGAAAAGGAAAAAGCTATGGTTCCTCGGTTGAAGCCTTTTTTGGAGGGAAGTTAAATAATATAATAACACAAATAGAAATCGTTAAGAGTGCAGCTGTTAATTATGTGAAGATTTTGAAAAGGGAATATAATAGAAGTAAATAAGAATATGAAACATAGTAATATTAGATTATAAAGACCCATCAAGAACGGTGCACGCAAAGCCTCTTGACAAAATTGCTTTAATTTGGAACTAATTTGTGTAATTGGGTTTATATTGAAAATCAAATTTAAAAATTGGCATCATAATAATAATATTTGTGAAACTATTTTAATGGTTTTCACTGTAAGGAGCAATAAATTATGTGACAAATACAACCTTGTTAGCCAAACCTTGAGGTGCCAATAATGCACCAGTAATCAACAATTATTAAGTACGTACAATTGCTTCACTAAAGCATTTCACTGTTGTCTAATCAGTAAAAACCTGTCTGAGAAAACCCTTCACCTAACCACGAAGAGACAATTCTGCATGGACTGGGGTGTTTAAATGAAATATCACTTTATAAGAACAAAGGGAAGCTGACTTGAAAACAGCCAAGTCATAAACCGATGTATTGCTCAGCGAAATAATAGAAGCTTTCATTCACAAAATCAAACATCAGCACTTTTATATTAAACCAACAACTGAACTCAGTCTGGACCACAGCTCAGTCTCAGAAGCTGATATTAAGTGCCAGGATTGGCCTGGGAAGTGTGAAGAAAAAGCAAGTGCAGAGATTAGGCTTTTCAGCCTATCTTCTTGGAAACTGAGCACTTGCCTGAGCTTAGCAAATACCACGAAATTTCAACAGGCAGCAGTTCTGCCAATAAGCCTGTGCTCCTCTGAGTAAGGAAGTTGACAAATGTTTCTTTGTTATTCTCATCTACTGTGAAAAGACTAAGGTCCTTCCCGGCAAACAGTGACAAAAGGGTTTTTGTCTGAGCACTAAAGTAGCAGTAGCCCAGGTCCAAGGTTGGCATCATCCTGCCTGTACCCAGTGGATCGGTGAGAGGAGGTGGATGTTCTCTGCGACAGAGTGATGGAGAGTCATTGCCGTGCAGTGGTTAGTGTGTTGAATTAGGATGCAGGAGACCAGAGTTTGAATCCTCACTCAGCCATGACAGTGGGTCACTCACTCACTTGGGGCTTGTTCACACTTTCGCTTGTACCATTACAGTCAGGGTGGATTTGATTTAAATCACTAGTCAGTAAGACTTGATTTAAATATTTTTTTTTACAGAAAGACTCATTCTTACTGGTATAATCTTAATATTTACAACCAAAGGAAGGTTTCATTTTTGGAATAATAAACGTTCAGAGTAGTTTTTACAGTTATATCAAAAATTACTGATTTGGTTATACTATTAGAAATACATAGACAGATAATTACGAAATTATTGTGGGGTTTAATAAGCTAACTGTTTATATTTGGACAACTTTTCTGCTGTACTTTAATCATTTCCTTAATAACAATTTAAACAATTTATTTAACTAAAACAGTAACATTATAGCATATGTATCCATGTTTGTTAACTGATGTGGTTAAACGGTGTTGTTGTTGTTGTTGTTTTAAAAAACTTAGACTGAGTTTTAGCACATATGAAAAACTTAAAACAAATCCTTATTTCCTGATGAATAGCCTTTGGACTATAATGTAACTTAAATAGAAAACTATATTTGGAAAGACTTTTCCTCCAAAGGCATTTTATTTTAAAAATCCGATTTAAATAAACAAAATCCGATTTAAATAAAAAAATCCAATTTTAATTTTAAAAAATTCATTTTTTAAAAATCATTGATTTTTATCCACCCTGATTACAGTGCCAGTGACAAACTCAGTGGGGAAACTCCAGAAGCTTATGGCAGCAGTTGCTCTGGAGGAGGAAGAATTAGGCTGCACACACGAAGCATGGAAATACGGCTGTTTGGATCATGGTCCATTTCTGCACAGACTCCCGGCCTGCTATTTATGGCTTGGGAGGGGGCAGGAAACCTCGGGAACATTCAAGATCAATATGCTTGCCTGCTCCTTTGGATCGCGACTGCTTGTATTCAGAATTCTGGTCTGCTATTTTTTGGGGGTGGGGGGGAGAGATGCAAAGAGGGTCTTGAGGCAGCCACCACGGCACTGCTCACAGGCAGTCAGCACGAGCACAGATCCGTTTCCTTTGCCTTCTCCTGAATTGAACTGGCTATTCTGGTTTTAGGTACATAGCAGAACTATGTTTTGCCTTTTAACAAAAGGGGGGGAAATGTCACGGTTGCAGCAGGAGAACACATGTTACATTTCATGACATCAGGCAGTTAAAATGTATAGCTAGTACATACAGTGCTCTCACCAAAACTACTCTGGATTTGCATCAGACAGAACTGCGAGTACAAAATGTCCCAGCTCTTGTAAAAATGGGGGTGAGATAATATTGCTATCGGAACCTTAACTATTGCCTTTCTTGATGGCTGTTGTTGCTGCTGCTGCTGCTGAGCTAATAATCCTAACATTCCACTGAAGGAGTGTTCAGTCAGTGCTTGATCATAAACAGGAAAGGAATGAAGGGGGGGGGACCCCAACCTCAGGCTTTATGAAAGATGCAGGTCATTGACCTTACAAATCGCGACAAAATTAATTTGGCACGGCATGCCGCTTCTGCCTTTTAACTATGCCCTGTGGAATCTGAGCACCTGATATTACTTAAGCTCTACAAAGCAAAAGGCTTTTGCCAGCACAAACAGCTCAGGCATGTGTGGACAGAGCCAGTCATTCAATTTTGGGGAGTCTGAGGAGAGAATGGCTGGGCGTCTCCTTTCTCCCACCACAGAAAGAGCAGGGGTGTTTCGAGGTGATGGCGCTGAGGGATTATGTCGCCATCTTCCACAAGTAGCAACAGAGTCACCGCGCACACTGTTTGCCGCAATACGGAATAGACAGGAGGGTGAAGGAGGAATACAATGATTTCATCAGTACATGCTGGTCTGTCCTGTCTATGGAACGCCAGCCTATAAACCTTGGGTGAACTGACATGCACTGTGCAATGGGATGGAATGGGATAGTTTGCTGGCATGCATTATGCCTTGCCCAAAGATGTGGCTGATTACTCTGAGTTTTTAGTGTTCAAATAATAATTAGTTGTGTACACACTCCGGTTTACTCTGCATCCAGCACTGCATCCCAATGCTGGTTTGGGAACTGGCGTGCACACGACATTAGCCACAATCCACACCTTTACTGTGATTTCTTATGAAATACTGTGTTTTGAGGTGTGTGCCCCCTGCAACCAGATTCTATCAGAATTGAAGAAAAAAATGACATAGCCACGTTTTAAGCTGGTAATGTGTATGCAGCCTCCCCCCAAAGCAAGGCTTTTGTATCGCAAGTACATACCGTGGTGTCCACAGCGGTGACCTTCTTGGTGGGTATATGTTTCGGGGTGGGTTCCTTTGCGCAGACCAACACACAGCCCTCAGGACCCAAAGTTACAATGGCTGTTTTACAGCCTCTCTCGAGCAGGATCCGTCCCACACACCCAGCATCTTCAACATTGCCAACTGGGATTCCCGTTAAAAGTTCTGCCTAGGGGAAAAGGTTGAAACAACACAAAACCCACATCAGCTTGGGGTGGGCGGGGATTAAGCAAAAACATCAATTTATTTTAAGACTACTAGCTATGTGAAACAGATATGTAATATTTGCTACTATTAAATGCATTGAGAGACAATGGTGTGTACCAGGAAATATAGTGGGAGGTGCAATAAATCCCTTTGAAAGCACAGATTAACCACTCAGCCCTTAATTTATTATTTCCACAAATGAGGTATCGTACTGATGTACCAGACTCAGAGTAGTGGGCTGAAGAATAACATAATATCTATTGTAATAACCTCTACAAATAATTAATTCAGGGCTCTGGCGTTCAGCCAAACCCAGTTTCCTGATTTGTGCATGAGACACATGCTCAAAAGCACATTTTTTTTAAAAAAATACATTAAACAAGCAACGTTTTTAGGTGCACATAAAAAACCCACCCTAGTAAAATGTGTGAAGTGGCCAACTGCGTGCTGTGCCCGTAACGGGGATTCCACCATGAACTTCCCTTGTTCAAGGGAGGTAAATGATTTTCCATTGCTTTACCCAAGGAGCTGCTTTGAAGAACCACCTCTAAGAAAACTACTGTGGGGCTTCCCTCTTGTTCCTTCCCCATTTTCCTTGGGAGTAGACCCTATGTAAAGCAATGGGGGGGGGGAGGTCTGTGTTGCTTTGCGCAGGAGGTTGTTTGGAAGGGCTTTCCTAGGGGGAAATGAAGGAGTTTGGATTGGCTTGGGAAATAACCATGCTTTCCCTTTGGGGGGGGGAGAGGGGAAGGGGGAAGGGGGAAGGGAAGGCTTGGTTCATTTATAAGCCAATCCAGTGTGTGTGTGTGTGTGTGTGTGTGTGTGAGAGAGAGAGAGAGAGAGAGAGAGAGAAGTTTTGGAATATATAACCAGACAGAGGACCTTCTCGGTAGTGGCGCCCACCCTGTGGAACGCCCTCCCATCAGATGTCAAGGAAATAAACAACTATCTGACTTTTAGAAGACATATGAAGGCAGCCCTGTTTAGGAAAGTTTTTAATATTTGAAGTTTTATTCTGTTTTTACGGTTCTGTTGAAAGCCGCCCAGAGTGGCTGGGGAAACCCAGCCAGATGGGCGGGGTAGAAATAATAAATTATTATTATTATTGTCATTATTACACACACAGAGAAAGAGGGAGCTGAACCTGGGGTCACACTCCTGAGAAGTGTCCAAGTTGCTTTAAGCAGAGGTTGGATGGCCACCTGTCATGGATGCTTTAGCTGAGATTCCTGCATTGCAGGGGGTTGGACTAGATGACCCTTGGGGTCCCTTCAAACTCTAAGACTCTATGATTCTGTCTCCTAAGGAGAGTCCACTGCTCAGTCTTTTCCACCATCAAATGCCGTCTACTGTTAGCAAGTTTCTCCTAGTGCCTTGCCAAAGTCTGCTTCCTTAATAATTTCCACCGTTTCATTCTGGTCTAGAGATGAAACCCTGTAGCATTGGCCCTAGCCCTTCTCACCATCCCCCAAAGTGGGGCGCATGCTACAATGCCACAATGAGGCAATACCACAATGAGGTCCTTGAAGGAAGGGCAGGTTGCAAGATGCAAATACATCTGCACCACACCCTGTTGATTGCATGGATTGTGATAGTACCTAGTTTAGAAGAGAACACTGTGCTATTGCTTTAATCCCAGAGAGCGCCCACAGTCCTTGACTGTTATTGTCTGGCCCTCCTTCTGTGCTGCACAGTATACAAAGGTGGTTGCGGACCGATTAGGCAAATACAGATGCCTCTAGGAGTTTCTGCTGCGTCTGCCATCTGCAAAGAGTTGCCTCCAGCTGTATTTGCAACAATTGTGATGCAGCTGAGATAAAGAGGGAGAGGGGGGAAATGAGGACACCGCAAGGCAGGCAAGGAGTCGATTTCCCGCAAAGGTAACAGACACAAGACAGATGCTACGTGCCAAAAGTTAAAATGTACCACAAAGTGTCAATTGTGAAATTAAATATAAAACTGCTGGGCTGTGTTGGAAAGTTCCTCCCTCCAATAAAATCACTTTTTTTTATAAAAAACAATACAATTGGAGGAAATAACTAATGGCTGCTCTAAAAAAGAAAACGAAGACACAATAGCAGGAGGCCAAGGAGGATATTTTTAAAGAGCTTTCTACATAAGACCAAGGGAATGAGATTCTTCCCCCTGGCTCCTACCACCACATCTTGCAAAAAGGCATAAAACACTCACAGAGAGATGAGGAAATGACCAAATTACTTATATTGTTAATCTACAAGTCAATATACAGTCAATGTAGTACCCCCAGATGTTGTTGGGCTACAGGTTCCATCATCCCTGACCATTAGCCATGCTGGCTGAGGCTGATGGGAGATGGAGTTGGCAACATCTGTTAGCCCCCCCCCCCCCGTATCTACAGGTAATGCTGCTGCTGCAGAACCAAGTGCTTAAGCAGAAAATGCAGAAATGCAGAATTCAACAGCGTAAAGATATGCAAGGTCACATTCTGCAGAAATGAATTTCTAAGGTGTGACTCCTTATTTCATTGTACCCACTCCAAACTGTCACACCTTTTGAAACATGACCGGGCATGTTCCAAGTCTACTACGGAAAATGCAAAAATAGCAATGCATTTTCCATAACGTGGAAAATGCAAAAAGCATTGTGCCACCCAGCTTCAGCCAGTTTTGCTCAGCAAAGTCCCATCCATTGTTGGGATTTTTCACTTGCCATTAGGTCCATGTTACGGGTGGTGGTGGTGTAGAGACTACACTACTATACAAAGATTGAGTTTACATTTGTTGCTCTGACCACCTTTGTCTCTGGCTCCACCCACCACTGTAAAATGGCCCTGGGGTGGCTTCCCTGAAAGGAACATGGTCTTCAGGCAAAAATATTTCCTATCCCTGAGCTTAAAGCAACAAAAACATAGGAGCCAAATCCTAGGAGCCGAGGGGGCTTCGGTCCTCCCAATAAAATATTTGAGGGGGCTGCCCCCCCAAGTTGATAGGCATTGTCATTCAAATGGTTTGTGTGATCGATTATGCAGGGCGGGGCTTACCTCCCCCCTCCCATATTTTATTCAAGTTGGCACCCCTGAACAGAGGCGAGATGGGAAGGGGGCAGGTTTGGGCTTCCCTCCTCTGCATGTTTTTTGTGTAAATAATATCACACACATACCCCTTATATGTGAATGCAACAGATGCATTCAGTAACATACACATGGCTGGCCCTGCACATCTGAGATTGGTTTTTCCCCCTGGAATAACTCTCTAAAGTGCCAAGGACATTATAAATGCAACACCTACAACGATTTCCCTTCAAGTCTGAAATCACTTAGTGGCACACAACCTTAGGGTTTTGGCTTCCACAGGACCAACATTTGATATACTTATTCTGCAATTCTTTTATTAGAAGAATTAGAAAGAACAGAGAACCAGCACATTCCTGGGCAAACCTCAGGGATTAGGCTCTGCTGCATCTGGTGCACAGTGAATTAACAAGCCAGTTTCAACAGGCTTGATCTTTCTGGGAAAAGTCGGGGGGGGGGGGGACCAAACTACCAGCTAAGCAAAAAATCAGGAACTGATAATCTTGCAAGATGCATTCTCAGTATTTTGCACACGAACCACATACAAAGAAGTAGAAGCTGCACAAATAAAAGTTTATTAAAGCAATGAAAAATATGTATCTGAAACCACAGCTTGTGAAATATCCTTTGTGGTAGATAGCCCACTGATATTATACCCTTGTTTTTTTGCTCCATTCTAGCACAACAATTCGGAATGAACAAAATGTTTCACAATACCAAGTATTTGTGGTTGTCAAAGCATCCACAAGTGTTTGGTGGATGTGCTTCCATCCAACAGATTATTTGGAGGATGCAGCCCATGTGGCAGGGTTTGCAGCAACTTGGGGTACTTCCAAGGCTTTGCTAAGTCACAGACTAGTTTTATGCCTCTGCTGCCGAGAAGATAAATAACAGAAACTTCCTGTCTGATCCTATAACTGTTATCAGCCAATCATAAATGGACGATTACAAGCACACAGTATGAATTATTAAGGAACCTGGCAGAAACTTCACAGCTCATGTTGACAATGGGGCATAAATTTCCACTTCCCTTTGAAGTAGGTGGCTAGTCAGCACAAAAAGTTGAACGGGTGTTAATTGTGATGAGCTCTGAATTCTTTTTTCTGCCCCCTACACACACCCCCTATACTGCTGTGTTCTGTATGGTCAAGCTTCATCTGTTCCAATGCAGGTAATAATTTTACTAAATTATCTATAAACCCTGCTATGTGGGATCTTTCACCTCTCAACATGCTGGCCCTCAATGGGAGAAAACCTGGTGTGAGAGATGGCACCGTTCTTTTCATCTTTGGGACCATGTGGATGCATGAGAACTATATGGACACAGAGGTGAGCTTCAATCAGGCAGACCTGCAAGCATGCCCCATCTCTGCCACAGGCTGACTGTGTGGACTTCCAGACATGATACAAGACGACAAAAACTAGACTGGAAATGTCAAGAGTGGAGTTGGATATAGCTGAGTAAGTTCAGCAAGGCAGTGCACTGGATCTATAGTTTATTGTTTACGAGCCTATATTCAAAGCATGTTTACCCTGCTCTTCGATGAAAAAGGCTCCCAAATCAAGTTGCAGAGCAACTTTTTAAAAAGGCAGTCCCTGCCCTCAGCCTTACAATCTAAAGGACACAACACAAAAGGGGGGAAAGGATGGGTTGGGAGAAGAAAAGACACAGTAGAAAAGGGAAAAGAGGAGAAGTGGGAAGTACCAGTTCTTATAGTTACAGTTCTTATAATGGTGGCTGGCTTGCTGGCATGGAAAAAATTCAGGTAGTTTGCTAGCACTGGGCACTGCAAGGTGACACATGGAGGAGAAGACGACAGAATAGCCCTACTTTCCTTCTCTTTCTTTCTTGCAGTCTGATGGAATCACCCAGGTTTATACAGTGTGCTATCCTAGACCCTCCAACACTACTCAGATGAAAATAGGGACATTTCTCCTTCCCTCCCAACTGATCCTCCTCGACCCCCCATTTTTGCCACCCTCCAACAGAGCATTTTCTATCAGAAGAAGGGCGAGTGCCACCATCACCACACCAAGGGGACACAGCACTCACACCCTCCACCACCCCGAGAATATCGCTTAATCCTCTTATTTTATTTTATTCTTGTAATTTTGAACAATGATTACACATTACAAACCCAGCCATCGGTCAAAGCTTTCTGGGTTGAAGTATGAACTGTATGTTTATTTCCTCTTTGGTATGCCACTGCAACCAGTGAGATGGAGACCTTTTGTGGGGGGGAGAGATTATCAGTTCTGTTTCAGGTGCTATTCAGCCCATTCCAAGTAAAGCCAGCATTGTACAACACAGCATTTTCAGAATTTGAACCAATTACTTGCATTTAAATGCAGAAAAGATGATGCAGAAAACAGATTTTAAAAGTTGCATTGGTCCAGAGCGACCAAAATCATGGTGATGACACGTATTTACCTCAGTTTCATTGCAGCAGATGATGTCAGAATAGGTATAAAATCGTGGATCTAGGTCAGCGACGGCTGGAGCAGGATTAAATAAAGTCTTCACTATAAGAAAATGGAAAATGTCTAAATCAATGGCACATGATGCTTGAATATGAATAATTGGGCAGAATCCAGCAAAAACTCTGTGTTGTTATGGCGAAGGCACTTTCAGCTCCACATTCCCCACCAAGATATATAAATTACTTGCAGACCTACAAATCTTCAGGAAAATATCCTACTTTCTCATGTTGCAAAACAAAAAAGCAACTCCGATTCACAATAAATAATAATGGTTTCGTTAACCAATTTTGTTAGAATATTAAAGCCCTGATTATCATGCCACTGTCATCAAAGTGAGAAAAGAAGAATTAATTAGCAGAATGAAAGCTCTGCTGAATTCAGAAAACAGAAAGTTGAGTTACTGCTAATTTGTTTAATATTTTTATAAGATATTCCATCTAAGAATCACAAGGCTGTTTGCTGCTTTTAATTTGAAAATCAAAGGTGCATGGAAACTCACTCAGCTAATGGAAGTACCAAATACAGAATCCAGCTTGTCTTTAACATCCTGTGCCCTGTCAGCCTTCCATATTAAACAAACCCTCTTCCATATTAGAAATGTAATTCACTGAACATGATTCTGGTTATCCTAACGTTTACCTATTGCAGCAGGAATACTTCCAATGCGGAACATGGAAGGAAATGAAGTTCATACAGCAGAAATGGCAGCTCATTGCCAGCATGTGCCTCAGTAAATAAGCAGCCTGCCTCATCCCACAGAATCTCTGAAGCTTGGCCCAACCAAGGCTACCCGCTCAGCTAGCTGTTGCACCTAGACCCTTCCTCAAAACCGTGGTCAAACTTAATGCCTTTGAGTTGATTGTCTGAGCCTCTGTAAAAGTAAATATGGGAAACAGAAGCACACAGTGCTCCTACAGCACTCCCTAGTGCACTGTGTATAAGCTAAAGATGGGCTCAAATTCTCATGTTTTCTGATGATCAAGTGCCGGCAAGCGGAAAAGATGTGCTTCAAGCTTTGTTGAGCTGGAAAAAAATAGATTTTAATTTTTTTGAGGGGCAAGGGAGAGGGACTTGCAATTTGATTTCAAGACACCATAGCCATATCCTCCTCCTTTCCATAAACTTTCTGCCAATGTGACAAGCAAGGGTGGCAGTCCTAGTGCAGTCAGAGGCTATTTCTCCTCAGTGTGCCTCTGTGAGAGGATGCCTTGTAACAACCTTCCAGCGGCATTGTTGGGGGGCAGGGGGGTAGTTGTTCAATGGGGCAGCCACTCCTCTTTCCTAGCAATGCCTTTGGAAGGGTGCTATCTTGTAAGGTAGAAACCCCCCCCCCACAGAGACACAGTGAGGGGAACCGACCCCAGATCATGCTAGCAGCACCCAGCAAAATGGTTATTTAAGAAAGGGGAAATGGAGGGGGGAGATTTGCCTAAACTATGCAGAAACTAAAATGTAAGCACTGGAAATGAAGTAAGGTTTTTCATCACTCCATCCCCCAAAATGGTTGAGAGCACACTTTTGTAGTATGAGAAAGGAGCTGTGAAGATAGGGAGGCACTTTCTATCCCGTTAGAGTATAAGCAAATTAAAGGAAAGGAGCTGGAATATGTCCAAGACAGGTTGCAAAATGCACAGGAGGATAATCCGTACAGTAATAGAAAAGGCTGCTCAAGCGACTACCAGCAATCTAATGCGACAGGGCAACCAACTCCCTATATTCTGCTGACTGTGTGATGGTAGTTTGGCACAATGCTCTCTAGCCCCATCAAGACACGGTAGGGTGGAGAAGGCAAGCAAAGCAGCTTGCCACCTACTGTCTCCTGTTGCAATGATGCAAGCCTCTACTGTCAGGACTGCTGGCTTAGTCAGAGGGATGGCAATCTGAGGTCTGCAGGCCACGTCAGGAGAGTCAAGGCCCATCCCTGTCAGCTTGTGGTGGCTTGCCTGCAAGCTGGTTTTCTTTGAAGCAAAGTCCACCCCTGGCGAGGGAGGGACAGCCTTAGCAGGTAGGACATGGGGTCATCCCCCCCATTGGTGGCCACACTGCTTCAGGGAGCTACATCCTGGTGGTGGGCAGGGCCAGAACCATCCACTTTTATCTCTCTCTCTCCCTTTCTGCCACCCACTTGTCTCTCCCCCTTGCATCACCCAGTGGGCTACCTGGAGGGGGCACAGATCGCTCTTGCCTGAGATCTGAAATGTCGGCTTGCAGAAGGCTTTTGAAATTAGACTGAAGGTGAAACCAGGGCCATAGGTAGCCCACCCGTGCCCTAGGGGCTTGAAAATTCCTTCATTATATACCTTTAGGTGCCAGGCAAAAACATTCCTCTTCAACCTTTGGTTTATTGACACCCAATAAGAATGTGTTGGGGTGGTGGTTAATTGAGTTGTTCTTGTTCTTATTTTTATTATGTATTTTATATTGTGATTTTATCTTGCGAATCGCCCTGAGACTTGTGGTTATAAGGCAGTATAGCAATAATTTTATTTTATTTTTTAAAGCAGAATGGTGGGTGAATCAATGTTTTTGTTTAGGCACTTCTGAGAAAGCAGGGTCCATAAATGGGTGACTTCAGCTCTTCCATTTAACTACTCAAGCGAACAAGAAGAATAACATTCGAGTCAAGAGTGCTACAATCGCTTTGGCATGCAGGATTTAATGACCTGTCCGGGCACTGTGCCAGTCAAAACAGAGGCCAGCGCTTAGACAAAAGCTGCCACAGGGACCTTTAATGACTACTAGGAGGACAGTGAGACATCGGCAAGTGTAACACTGTCGGTTCGCAGCCTTGTAAAACGGGGGTAAGTGAATGGGGACAAGAGGGCTTACAACCACAAGCTTCCGTTTCCTCACTTCCCCCTTTCTTTTGTGCATGGCATCTCGGTGTGCATCTGTTAAACACAAATAGTCTAGTGTGCTTCCTAACATAAACCCCTGCATTAAACATGCAGCATCTGCAGACTAAAGGAAAGGAAATGCCACTAACACACTCCAGCTGGGAGGGTGTTTAATACTGCGCAGTGTTAGCAAAGTGTTTATGGGGATGTGGTTATACAAGGCAGTTTGACATGTTTGTCCTGTCATCTAGGGCAGAGGTGGCCATAGATTTACTGGAGTACGGAGCACACTGTGACGAAAGATGGAATGGTTAGGATGGTTCTGATCTTCCAATTACACAGTCTCTTGCCTTAACTTGCTAATGCCTTTCTTGCTCACATTCACCTAATAATTTTTTATTTATTTTTGGTTTAACACGTGTGATGTAATGAAACACTTAATAATTTGCCCTTGCTGCTACAAAAAGAGCTCCTTCAACACTAATAAATTTATTATGGCACAACAAATTTATTATGGTCACTTCATAAGATGCACAAGGTTGTCACTCTAGCCTAGCGCAGGTGTGCACTGTTGAAACAAATGGGTTTTCTAAGCAAAAGATTACACAAACTTATGCATGTTTGCTCAGTGTAATTCAAATTGAATTCAATGAAGCATCCTCTGAGGCAAGTGGCTGTAGGACTGAAGTTTTACTAATTTCTGGGGTAGCAAGTAAGGAGAACAAGAAGGGTGACTGTAGGCGAAAGCAACATTCAGAGGTGTGACTGCTGCAGTAAAGGGTCATGCAGAAGAATTTAGCCTCACTTTCCACAAAACGTGGCTTATTGTTATGGATGAAGCAAAGACTGTGGTTTTAAAACAAACTCTGTCCAATTTCTAAGCAAGCCAACTTCAAACTATGGGTTTCGAAGCTGGCTTGTTTAACTAACCAGTTTGTTTTAAACCCCAGTCCCTTGGGCCGTACATAATGACAAGCAGTGTTTTGCAGAAAGTGAAGCTATGTAGTCCCCCTTCCAGTAATGGAGGAGGAAGAAAGGCAGGAGCATAAAAATCCAAGGCTTGCAATGGCTTCTTGCTGCTCGTGCACAGAACACTAAACCATGGTTTGACATCGCCTTCCCAACTTATGTGCTCCAAATGTTTTCGGGCTAAAATTCCCATGGAGAATGATCAGGGATGATGGGACATGGCAGTCCAAAAGATATGGAGGGCATCAGTTTGGGGAAGGCTCCATGAACCCAGCCAGTGAGTATGTGCCTCTTATGACAATTAAGAGAAGAACTTTGTCATGCCAATCAAATGAAATCATAGTTTCGCTCTTCTTTTCAAATCTGGCACAAGCTGCCAAACACACGTCACCTTCTTTTCCACTACTGAGTTTTAAAAATAGTCCTGAAGCCCTGCTGCCTTGAAAGGATATAAAAACATTTTAAAAGGGAGCAAATAATTATTAGATTACCTCCACTGGTGTGTGCCATTTTCAGGGCTTCCAGAGAAATAGCTGGGGTTATTTCAAGTTGGCAGACCATGACTTTAGCGTTTGAGATGACGTGCGCAGCCCTCTTTAAGTCATCAGAATTCAAAAGCAAATTTGCTCCTGCAACAATGACGATAAAGTTTTCCCCTAAAAAACAAACGAATTCTGGTTTTTAAAATGTTTACAAGTAACCATGCAACCAGTCTCTTTTGCAAAGGGATGGATTCTACCCACATAGCTGTACATCTCCCCTTCGCTTCAATCAGAGCTTGCACCTGGGGAACTTCATGCTATGTTGTCGTTTCAAATAATATTATGGTTTGAGCTTCCATAGGCTCAAGACAATTCATCAGATACATGAAGCACACTGGAGAGACACATCCTTAGGTCAACTGATTCCTAAGTGTCCATTAACGTTTGTCAAGAGGATGCTTTAACAGAAATTTGTCAGTGGAAAACTTTTTGGTCCCAATACAGAATGCCTGTCCCAATATATGAAAATGTGTGTGTGAGAGAGACTCGCTTTTGCTTGTCTACCACTGCCGCATGACTCTCAAGAGCGTTGGTCAAAGGGGAATACAACCCCTTTAGGTTTAAAAAAATGATCTGCTCAAAGTTCTTCTAATAGGGGCCCTTCAAGGCTGAGATTAAGCCAGCGTGGGGACAGAAATCATTCTGATGTGCTTTTATTTGTTTGCTTATTAAAAATATTTACATACCACTATTCATAAAAAGTGTCAGAGCAGTTTACAACAATTATACACAAAATCATTCAATTAAAACTATATAAAATGTTGAAATCAGAAAATAGCCAACTATTATGGAAATATGTTATTCTTAATTGCCTGCTTAAACCTGATGGAATAGAAGAGTTTTCAACAGCTGTTTAAAAATTGAGACAGAAGGCACCTACTTAATGTTTCAGCATGTGTGTTTGTTTTTTAAAAAGAAAAAGTACTGTGATGACTAGAACTTGCAAATAAGTGGACTAACAATTCTGAAATAAAACAAATAAACAGCAAGCGTCAAGTTATTTTAGAAGAACCCACCGCTTCCTTGGAACGGGCACCACAACTTCAGATTTGTATTTTGATGGTGACATCAGAACTCAGTTATGTTTCATTACACTTTATTCTGAGAGGGGTGGGTGGGGAGGGGAACGTGACAAGGGTCTGTTGCTTTCGGCGGCAGCTTGCGTTTATCATAATGTATAGCTCCAGCTTACTGTAGCATGCAGCCTTGCCTTTAGGGCGTGTTTTACAGTGGTGCTGTTGCACATACTGCACATCCAAGCCAGAGAATGGTACAAATGCCTGGTGTGATTATATTCCTGGAGTCTCCATGACCCCAGGGAAGGAGATGTCAGTGCTGCTTCACCACACACTACACTGAGCCTGGCTTTCCTCCACACCAGTGTCTGCCTGTTCCTGAAGTTACTGCTATCGCTAGGGAGTGTTGCTAAGGCCATGTACACATTAAAGGCTTAAAATGCAGTGGGGCTGTGTTTCAATTCCATGTCGGTACACGGTGTCATGGTTTGACGTGTTTCCACTCCGGCTGTGTGTCCGTCAAAGGAGGGGCTTGAAATGCTAAGAGTTTAAACTTCATCTCTGTGATTCTGCACTTCAGACTTCTCTCTTTCTCAGGAGTAAATCCCATTGCATTTGGAAGATGTATTGGGTCATAGCTGCAGCCACAGGAAGCTGATCTCGGGGGTGGGATGCAGTTGGAGGGATTAAGCTTCACCAGAGAAGGGTTGAGGCTTGCAAATCATGAATGGTCACCTGACTGGCTGTGGGTTGGTTGCAAAGGAAGAGCTAAGCTTTAGGAACACAGTATTTTTCATGAATGAGACTTCTAAGTGCCTTGCGTGCAAAAAAGCGCCTCCCAAAAATACAGTGATAAGATAACATCATGAACTCACAGGGAGGAATTCAAGTTTCCAAAGCAATTAGGCCACTGGTAACATAGCTCAAACAGTCACATGTTAAAGCTTATTTTGGTTAAAGCCCAGGCTTTTTGCCCTTCTCTTTTCCCTTTCAGACAAAAGACCTGTTTTCCGAATGTGTGGAGGGACAGTGGGAGAAGATCACACACGCTAGCCGGAACTACAGTATCTTAATTGGTTCAACCCCAAACTTCATGTGTTGAGCAGGAAAGTCTGAAGTGGGACACACATTCTGCTAAATGCACTTCAAATCCTTGCTGAGAATGCAGTTTGAATCCTTGTGTCTGAATTCACGCAGACTTAAGACTGGGATCCCTGACTGCATGAAGAATTCAAAGTGTATTCAGCCAAACACCATTTGATTCCTCATTCAGACTCTCCTGGTCAAGGCACCGAGGCCTGAGTTATGGGTTGTCCAGTATGTGGAGCTGCACTCTTCTTTCCACATACTCAGTGAATGTCTGAACAGGGGAAAGAAACCTGCCTATTATTAACGAGCCCACCAAGAGCCTCCCGAGTTGCACCTAATGTGCCCTGCGCAGTGTCTGTTGTCCATTCCCCATGTCTGGGAACAAGGTGAACCAGAGATGGAGATGGAGCAAAGGTACCGTAACTGAAACAGGTTCATGGGAGGCTGAGCTTGGAGCTGGTTTGTGGGGGCATGATAAGCAGCTGTCATCCCAGCACAAGTCCAGGAGAGACTAGGAGGCTTATATCCGCCCAGGAAGCTCCTCCCATTCCAGCTCAACTGCTGGATCTCAGTGCACACCTGGTTCTTCTCTGGCTCCCTCTCCTTCCTGACTAGACTGCTCCCCACCTATAGCGAAGCACCAGGCAATAACTCATCTGCCAGCTCTGGATTTCTTTTGGCCCAAACACCACCGCAGCCCCTGTATATGTGTGCATGTGTGCTCTATAGGTGAAGACAGAGTCTGTGCCAGAGGCAAGCATTTGTGTGGGGGTCATGGGGGCAGGCAAATTGTTTTCGGGGCTAGTAACTAGAGAGCTTGACTGTGACAGCATTTTCTTCAGGATCCTCAGTAGTGTTGGGGGGTCTTCACAGTCCCCCTCCTCTTCCCGGGATGAGTTCCTCCAAGAGTCCTTGTTGGATTGGACTCTTATCATTTAGTTTCTGAAAACCTCAGTAGGAAGGTACTAGAAACTGTGTGAAAGTTTGTCCTAGATAACATTGGTCCTAGATATGAAGCACATGATGCAATTTGTTGCAAAGCTTCCAAGACTTAAGAAGAAAGGAATCCACATGTTGAATCGCACCAAAGTTCATTGTTTTATCTTCAACAATGGTGATCCAGTTGTCCCTGGGAGATTCTCAAACAGTGCATGACTGAGATAACTATTACCAGTGTTTGCAGTGGTGCCTTTTAATCAGAGAAATAGTGACTATCTAACAAAGTTTTTCCATGCGCCTAAGGACTTCCACTTGCACCCCCTCCTAAAACTTGCTCTGAAAGGATGGGGAAACCCCAGAACAGATTTGTGAAGTGCAGAAGGAGCAAGAAAACAAGGAAGGGAAGTTCTGTTTATTTATTTATATTCTGCCCTTCATCCGAGGATCACAGGGATAAACTTGTTGCTCAAGTGGACTGCCCTTGCAGGACTGGGATGACCTTGCTGGATACAACTCAGAATTTCTGAGCTAAATGAAGGTTCCATTTTTAGCCACAATGGCCATTAAGATACTTACCCACCTGGTTATTTATTTATTTTTAAGTCCATATAAGCTAGTGGCCACTAAATATATCTCACACCACAGAATATGATAACTATTGACTGCATGAAGAACTAACTCATTTGGTTTGTTCTGACCAAACAGTTGAGACACACTGAATTCTAGAAGGGAATCCAGAATCTGGAGCAAAAGTCTTCAACAAACACATCAGGACCCCATATCAAGTTGTTAAGATCCCAAATTAATGTAGGTTACATTTATTAATATCTGTTGGGAGCTGCCCAAAGTGGCTGGGGAAACCCAGGCAGATGGGTGGGGTATAAATAATAAATTATTATTATTATTATTATTATTATTATTATTATTATTACATTAGGGTCTAAAATGGAGAGATTGGGAAAAGGGCAAAGTTCCTGCACCTTCAAAGCTGTATCAAAAAGGGAATTTTAGAAGGTGCATTTTGCAGGACTATTGAAAGTGCTGAAGTCCTGTCCTCTTTATTTCCTACCCCCCAATCTGGGATATAAATATCATTATCCTCTCTTATTATTTTTAAGAGGGAGACAGTAAAGCAGAAAAGGAACAGCAAACATATTGTGGAATAGAAAATAAGCACCGTTAATTTGCTTTTTTCAAAAAAGTGGGTCCCAGGTCTGAAAAGTCTGAAGGCTACTGTTTTATGGTGGGACTGAGAATTCCACACTAGGAAGTGGATTAAGTGACAAGCTGACCAAGCTTTGCAGGTGTCCTTTAATCTGGAGCATCTAGCTAGTGCTGCTGGACAACAGTGACCACACTTGGGCACACTGTCTCAACAACCTCAGCAGCAGAATCAGCATTCCTGTGTATCATTTTCTAAACCACTTTCCTCCGGCGAGCAAGCTACGACAGCTCGCTAGGTGACAGTGTTCAAGTAGCCAAGGTCAAGCTGTGGGTGGAGCTCCTCTGTTTTTACCTCCTGCCTACGATGTTGAACAACCCAACACGAACCCCTCTGGCTGTACAACAGCTGCCAAGTTTATTAAGCTAACACACGAGATCCACGTAACATCTCCCCACGCCCCTCCAGAGTCAAAGTTTGTGTTTGACATACTTTTCTTTAATCTTACTTCTTTAAATTTTACGTGTGTGTGTGTGTGTGTGTGTGTGTGTGTTTGAGAGTGTGTAAATACACACACACACACACACATACACACACAAAAGCTTTCACTGGTATCAAGGTACACTTAAGACCTTTTGTACTCAGGCATCCGCATGCATGGAAAAAAGTCTTTCTTCAGTCTTTGTGTAATGATTAATTAACAGCAAAAGATACAGTTAAGCTGAAGCAGGCTTCTGCTGGTTTCCTGGTTTGGCTCCAACTCTGAGGGGGCTCTTGGCAAACTGTCTCTGTCTCCTGCGTTGGTGTGACCAACACTTACCTGGCAGTGTTGGTGGGTGGCAGCAGTGCTACAGTGATCTCCAAGCTGCTCGGCAACAAAATGAAGCTGAACGTTCAAGGACAGATAAAAGAAAGAACTTCTTCACCCAGTGCATTGTTAAACTATGGGACTTGCTTGCACAGGAAGAAGTGATGGCCGCCAACTCAGAATCATAGAACAGAGTTGGAAGGGACCACGAGGGTCAACTCAACCAACCCCATGCAATGTAGGAATCTTTTGCCCAACGTGGGGGTCAAACCCATGACCCTGAGATTTAAGAGTCCCATGCTCTACCGAACGAGCTATCTAAAAGAGGATCGGACAAGTTAATGGAGGACAAGGCTATCAATGGCTATGTTCTACCTCCACAGTCAGAGGCATTGTACCTCTGAATACCAATTGCTAGGAATTGCAGGAGGGCAGAGTGCTGTTGCACTCATGTCCAGTTTGCAGGCTTCCCAAAGGTGTCTGGTTGGCCATTGTGAGAACAAGATGCCAGACAAGAAGGGTCATTGGCCTGTTCCAGTCGGCTCATCTTAAGCTCTGCTTTTTAAAATTTCCCAGTGTCCCAGAACAATGCGACATCAGAGGTACTGTAGGAAAGTGACGTGCTGGATGACCTGTCCAGGTCTTTAGCACAGTGCTGGGCCTTGCCAGGGTTTTGAGCCCCCAGAAGCCTCCCAGGGAAGTCACACACTTGTCCTGGCTTTTATATATATTGTATAGCAGCCTATTTTGGTGCTCTCAGCTAGACTGGCCAGTATCCTTTGAGGTTCACAGTCATAACATGCTGACATGCCCAATCAGAGCCCATGCCAGGGAACAAAGGAGATGTCATTCTCACCCAGAATTACTATGCTCCCCTCAGCACCATCTCACTAGACAGGCACAAGGAAAGCACGTGAATATTGGAGGTGATCACGGAATAGCATGATACTGAGAGCTTATTTCAGGACTGAACATAGGTTGGGAAGGTTGTCCAGAATGCCATGGAATGCCATGCAGAGAAGAAGCCCTTGCATGAGCGGAAGTGAATTTTGCCCTCCAGATTCCAGCCTATGTCTACAAGCCCTGATCTTTGCTTGGTTTCTTGTGGAACTCATGCATGGGGAAAACAAAGTTCTACCTTTGGTCTTAAGCAATAGGTTCTGGGCAGGGTCAGCTTATCTGTACTAATTAACCTGATGTAGACATGTCAGCTATTTAGCCCATCAAATCCTTGCTCAGAACAGAAATCGCTCCTAGAAAAGACTGCTATGGAATTTGATCAAGGATAACAGGTCAGCCATCCATCCTTTCCTCTTCTAGACTAGGGATGAATGTTCTCCTTTGGTTTTGTAAGAGCTAATCTGCACTTTACAAGAGGACATCTCACACGTAAGAACTAGTCAAACAATGTGGAAAATTACACAGAGCATTTGGAGGGAGAGACAACACAAGGAAGGGGTCTGCAGAATACTACAGTTCTGTCAATGTTGTCAGAGCCAGCTTGACCCCAAGGCATCCACCCCACCAAAAATTTATGTGGGTCAGTAAAATGTCATAGCAAATAGCCGGAAGACCCCAAGTTGTCATAATACTCCCTCTTATTCCCAGGATAGCTATAATCAACAGCAACAAGGGAACATCTTGTATCTCAAAGGAATGGTGGGTGGAGATAAAAAGACGTCAATAACAAGGAAGAATGGAATGGCAGTTTCTTATGGTGGAACAAAACAGTACAAAGGGCCTGGTACTACTTGATAATGCCTTGCCACTTTCTCTCCCCCCCCACTACCTGGATGGGGATAGGTAAAAGGTAAAAGGTAAAGCACCCCTGGATGGTTAAGTCCAGTCAAAGGTGACTATGGGGTTGTGGCGCTCATCTCGCTTTCAGGCAGAGGGAGATGGCATTTGTCCACAGACAGATTTCTGGGTGTTGTGGCCAGCATGACTAAACTGCTTCTGGCGCAATGGAACACCGTGACCGAAGCCAGAGTGCACGGAAATGCTATTTACCTTCCCGCCACAGTGGTACCTATTTATCTACTTGCACTGGTGTGCTTTCGAACTGCTAGGTTTGTAAGAGCTGGGACAGAGCAATGGGAGCTCACCCCTTCACAAGGATTCGAACCGCCAACCTTCCAATCAGCAAGCCCAAAAGGCTCAGTGGTTTAGACAACAGTGCTACCCGTGTCCCGATTTGGATGGGGATAGCCTGGCTTCCGTTGGCTCTGCTGTGTAACCTGGGATTGAACCTGGGACCTTCTGCATGCAAAGCAGATGTCCTACCAATGAGATACAGCTCTTCTCCCTTCTGTTATAAATGACCTTTTCTTGAAAATATGAATGCTACAAAACCTATCTACGAAGGCTTGTGAGAAAAGGAAGAGCAGGATAAAATTGCAGGTTTTATTGTTACCAAGCAAACTAATTCCGCTAAGCGAGGATAATGTAAATGGCAAGAGTAATGTTGTACTGACTAATGTATTGAACTGTAGTGCTGTCCTTCCTGGATGTTGTTGGGTTGGTTTTTCTTTTCTCTACCTCCGCCCCAACAGTTATTTATTGTCCAAGCGTGAGGAGAACTTTAATTTTCAGTGAACATTAAACCACAGTGCAGCTCCAACCTAAGGAATATTGGGGGGGGGGGGGGCGCGGCGGCCACTTTAACTTTCAGAATCCCAGAAAAATGATTGATTCCCTTCCCCCTTTAAAACCCAGCAACTTCATTAGAACAACAGTTGGAAAAAAATTCAGAATATCCCTAGATACCCACCTTCCTTGTTGACAATGATCGAAGCCGCTCCAGTAGCAGCATCCTCTGTTTGGCCAACAAATTCTAGAATAAAATAAAATAAATAAGACATAATGTTTTAGCACAGTACTTATGGCAATTTTAAAAAAAGAATGAAAAAAAATGCCACTAGGAAAAGTGAAAACTAGAATAAATCCACTGGGGTGTGTGGGGTTGTGGGGGTGTGTAAACAATGGTACCTTGGGTTAAGAACTTAATTCGTTCTGGAGGTCTATTCTTAACCTGAAACTGTTCTTAACCTGAAACACCACTTTAGCTAATGGGGCCTCCTGCTGCCGCTGTGCCGCCACTGCACAATTTCTGTTCTCATCCTGAAGTAAAGTTCTTAACCCAAGGTACTATTTCTGGGTTAGCAAAGTCTGTAACCTGAAGTGTATGTAACCTGAAGCGTATGTAACCTGAGGTACTACTCTGTGTGTCTGTGTGTGTGTGTGTGTATATATATATATATATATATGTATGTGTGTGTGTGTATATATGCACACACACATATATATACACACACACACACACACACATATATATACACACACACACACACACACATATATATATATATACATACATATACACACACACATATATATATATATATATAGTAATGCAGCAATACCAGAGGGTGAGGAGAACCTCATACGTGCTAAAATAAAATCACAAGACAATAAAAACAAACTCAGATTAATTAACTGCAGTTAATTCTCTGTTTCAGCAAAAGCGAGCTTTTAATACAGACTTTACTGGAAGCTGCAATGTACTGTTAATTCACGTAAACATGGCAGAATAAACATTTATATGACTTCTGCACACGATGATGTCCACAGTTGTACATTTCCCCAATCTTGAACATACTGTCAAGCAACTACATTGGGTCACTTAGAATTATAATATTATGAAGATGTTCTTTTTCTTTATCCACTTTGTTTGAGTTTCATGCGCACAGTTTTACAAACTTCCTATGCCTCTGCTGGCCTGCTTTGCTGAGTAGAGGAAGAGGACTTTGGATAGAAATTATGTGAATACAGCCTCTGTGTCTTTCCAAAGCAGATTCCCCTTTGGACCTCATAAACAACTACAAAAGAGACCACACAGGTGGCTCTTTTTCCTTGTGTGTAGCATCCAACTCAATACTTAGAAATGCCACCTAGCTAGCTTTCAAATGCTGTTAATATTTCATTGTAACTATTATAATGGCTGTTGATTTAATTCCAGATTAAAATCTCAACTAATGATTGATTCAGAGGACAGTTTTGTCTCATTACTATAATTTATCCCTCTGTCTTGGGGGAAAGACTGTAGCTCAGGTATACAGCAAGTACTTTGCACTTGCATCAAACCGTGGCATCTTAAAGTAGGACTCTGAAAAGTCCTTGTCTGAAATCTTAAGAGAGCTGCTAACATTCAATGTAGTAGACAATGCTGAACTATTATTATTATTAATTTCATTTATGAATCACCTCCCATAAAGCATCTTGAAAAATCTTACAATACAATATAAAACATTTATATTATCTGTTTTTTGCAGATAAAGTCGCTCTGATTCCGGAAGAGGTAGACTCCACCGTGGGAGCAGGGCTGGGGCGGGAGAGTGCTAGAGTCCCGTCTAGTCAAGTTGCGTGGCATCAATTCCAATCTGTTACCTCCGAGGATGTGGAAAGGCTGCTTGGATGAGTGAAACCAACCACCTGTCTCCTTGATCCTTGCCCATCCTGGCTTATAAAAGCTAGCCAGAAAGGGCTGGGCAACGGGCTTCATGGGGTGGTGAATGCTTCTCTCTGCGAGGGAGCCTTCACAGACCCGATGAAAGAGGCGGTTATTAAACCGCTTCTTAAAAAAAACCTTTAGATGCGGCCAATATGGCCCACTATTGCCCGGGCTCAAATCTTCCATTCTTGGGCAAGGTAATTGAGCGAGTGGTTGCTGAACAACTCCAGGCATGCCTGGAAGAAGCGGACCATTTGGATCCCTTGCAGTTGGGATTCAGGCCTCATCATGGGACTCAAACTGCCTTGGTCGCGCTGGTCGATGATCTCCGGCGTGCTAGGGACAAAGGTGAGAGCTGTTTCCTAGTTCTGCTGGATCTCAAAGCAGCTTTTGACACCATCGACCATAACATCCTTCTGGTCCATCTAGAAGGGCTGGGGGCACTGTTAGACGGTGGTTCCACTCCTTTCTCCTGGGCCGTGTCCAGAAAGTGGTGGTGGGGGATGAGTGTTCAGACCCCTGGGCTCTCACTTGTGGGGTGCTTCAGGGTTCTGTCCTCTCCCCCATGCTTTTCAACATCTACATGCTGCCACTGGGAGAGATCATCAGGGGGTTTGGGCTGGGTGTTCATCAGTATGCGGATGATACCCAGCTCTACCTCTCTTTTAAATCAGAACCAGTGAAGGCGGTGAAGGTCCTGTGTGAGTGTCTGGAGGTGGTTGGAGGATGGATGGCAGCTAACAGATTGAGGTTGAATCCTGACAGTTGAATCCTGAAGTACTGTTTTGGGGGGACAGGAGGTAGGCAGGTGTGGAGGGCTTCCTGGACCTGAATGGGGTAACTGAGCCCCTGAAGGACCAGGTGCGCAGCCTGGGAGTCATTTTGAACTCACAGCTGTCCATGGAGGCACAGGTCAATTCTGGGTCCAGGGCAGCTGCTTATCAGCTCCATCTGGTATGCAGGCTGAGACCCTACCTGCCCGCAGACTGTCTCGCTAGAGCGTTGCATGTTCTAGTTATCTCTTGCTTGGACTACTGCAATGTGCTCTATGCTGGGCTACCTTTGAAGGTGACCCGGAAACTACAACTAATCCAGAATGCGGCAGCTAGACTGGTGACTGGGAGCAGCTGCCGAGACCACATAACACCGGTATGGAAGACCTACATTGGCTCCCAGTACATTTCCGAGCACAATTCAAAAGTGTTGGAGCTGACCTATAAAGCCCTAAATGGCCTCGGTCCAGAATACCTGAAGGAGCGTCTCCACCCCCATCATTCAGCTCGGACACTGAGGTCCAGTGCTGAGGGCCTTCTTGCGGTTCCCTCGCAGCAAGAAGCCAAGTTATAGGGAACCAGGCAGAGGGCCTTCTTGGTAGTGGCACCCGCCCTGTGGAACGCCTTCCCACCAGATGTCAAAGAGAAAAACTACAACCAGACTTTTAGAAAACATCTGAAGGCAGCCCTGTTTAGGGAAGCTTTTAATTTTTAATAGACTATTGTATTTTAATATTCTGTTGGAAGCTGCACAGAGTGTCTGGGGAAACCCAGCCAGATGTGTGGGGTATAAATAAATTATTATTATTATTATTATTATTATTATTATTATTATTATTATTATTATACAACTACATATAAAGACAATTAAAACACTATTATTATTACTTGCCGCCCATCTGACTGGGTTGCCCCAGACACTCTGTGCGGCTTAAAGGTAAAGGGACCCCTGACCATTAGGTCCAGTCGTGGCTGACTCTGGGGTTGCGGTGCTCATCTCGCTTTATTGGCCAAGTGTACAGCTTCCAGGTCATGTGGCCAGCATGACTAAGCCGCTTCTGGCAAACCAGAGCAGCACATGGAAACACCATTTACCTTCCCGCTGGAGTGGTACCTAGTTATCTACTTGCACTTTGACATGCTTTCGAACTGATAGGTTGCCAGGAGCTGGGACCAAACAACGGGAGCTCACCCTGTTGCGGAACCGCCAACCTTACATTTAGGCAACTGTAATGGGCTTTGTGTGGGGCTCCCCTTAAGGCTATTCTGAACATAGCAGCTGGTGCTGAAGACTGTTGCCTGGGTGGTGCCCCTTACCAGCTACATGTCACACCTGGGCTATGGGACCTGCACTTGCTAACTATCAGTCGCCAAACCGGTCTGAAGGTGTTGTTTAGGGCTTTCTGCGCAAGTAACAACTCTGGACCAGGTTATCTGAAAGCCAGAATTCCCCTGCATTGCCAGGGTCAGGGCATTAGGATGAACAAACGGAATCCAATTAGCCATGTCACACTGTAACGATTTTCACCGGTGGCCTAGTTGTGGAAGAACCACTCTGCTGAAAAAGGAGAGGTCCCATCTGTATTGGCATTCGGCCAGCTTTTTAAGACATACCTGTTTAAGCAGGCCTTCCCCTTGATCTCTTGACACGACTCTCCTGCTTCAATTACAGTGCTGTTTTATTGGGTATTTTAATTATGGATATTTATATTTTAATGCTTGTGTAATTGGTTTGCATACTTGTAAACTGCTTGGAAGCCTGCCCATTCATTTCCATGGGTCTAATCCAGTAGCCTCTGGCTGGCCTGTGCTCATCAGGATGGCTATAGGACAGGATGTGGGGATGGAGAAGTCAGGGGAGCTCTAGCTTGGCAGCGGCTCTGCAGGTGGGCATACATCTGCAGGCTGCCACTGCCAACCCAGAGCTTTCCTGACCTTGCTACTGTCTCACCAGCCTTGGGAGGATGCCACTGCTGCCCCCACCCCCATACCGCTGATGGTCTGTGATTTACTTGGGTGCAACATAGTTAAAATATGAAACATTTACCTGTGGGAATCCCATTTTTCTTAAAGTTTTCAAGATAATCATTGCCAAAGGAATCCTTCCCAACCTACACAGCAAAAGTGAAAAAACATTAGATCTCTTACATTTAGTTGATGTTATGCAACTATATATTGCACACGTGTCACAGCCTTGTATTCCAAATGCAAATATTCTATATCAACAAGGGGGGAAAGATACACGCTCTTCTTGTGCATCTTGATTTACTGAGGCTGTGGTTTCAGCAAATTTTAACATTAAAGCATTCTGCACTCCTGTTTTGTAAGACCATTTCAAATACATGAGGTGGGATTTAACTGAATTGTTCCGTGAGCATAACAAGGTCCATTCAAACAGTGGGGGACTTCCTCCACCCCTTAAATCCGCTCTGGAGGTTTGGGGGAAGCTCCAAAGAGGTTTAAGGGGTGCATGGGGTGGGAGGAGGGGGTGGAAACATCTTAGTGTGGGAATGAATCTTGTTCCCCATGCACATACCATATGTTGAATTCCACCCAGAAAGTTTAATAGGCATATTATTTTGCTGTATTGCTGCAACTCATATTTAGGATTCTACGATGTCCCACTTGGGATTTCTTTCACCGTATAAAGTGATTGCAAAATAATGTAGTGTGAGGTCTCTCTGGGAGAAGACTATTTTAAAAATGCAAAAATAGGATATCCATAAAACAAGCTCCACAAAACCAGATTTTTAAGTGAATGTTTAGCACCATGGGTTGAAAGTGATTTCAAAAGCATATAGCAAGACAAAGCATTTTAGAAGATGCTATTAAGATGCCATTAAAGAATATCACTGTTCCTAAGGGAGAGCATAGACATCAGGGACATTTTGGTGAAGATGGACTGTTGTGGTCACAGACCAGAGAGGAATCAGACAAATAAACATGTCAAGTGGTTCTTGAAACTGAGCAGGAGCGATTTGTGGTTTCAGGATTCCCAGTCGGTCCTTGATTCCTATGCTAACATTATAACAGAGCTGACATTAGCTATGCTTCCCAAGAGTGTTCTGTGTGGTTCAATGCATTACGGTAGTGCAGAATGCAGCATAAAACCATCTAAGACTTTTAAAATTGTTCTTTTTGCTTCAAGCCACTGATTTCAGTCAGTTTGGGATAAAAAAAAATGTACTAATTTCATAGAATTGTAGAGTTGGAAGGGATTGGATCCAAGGACAGGTCTTTGGGAAGAATATACCTTCTATTTGGGGATCATTTCTTTCTTATGCCCCTTCCTTCAAGTATTTGATAAAAAAAGCAAGACTCTGAATGGGAAGATAATTGGTTTTGCAATGATAGGGTGCTTTTTTACATTCCATACTTAGCAAACCCAAGCCTTTGCTAACAAAGCACAACTGAGGTTCAGAGGCGACTTTCATTCTTAAAGTGCTGCAAAGGAACAAAACTGAAGCTCAGCCAGATAAAATGGAGATGCTGGGGGTGGATGGTCTGTTAAAGGCGGATGTAGGGCCACACTCCTTAGGAGAGCCGATCAATTTGGCTTTGCTCCTTTAAGTTGATGTGTCTGTCTATGGCCAGGAGTTATTGTCACCAGTTGGGAGAACGCTTTCTGGAAGGGCTGAACCATTGTCCGGCCTGATTTGGCTATCTCTTGCCTTTACTAATGACATACATGGGCTTGCCCTTGAAGACATTTTTGAAAACATCAGCTGGTCCAGGATGCAGCAATACAGGGTTGGTTGGTTGGTTGGTTGGTTGGTTGGTTTTCACTAGTCCATTACAGCATTATTAGAAGTCCAAGGTGCAGGTTTCAGCCTTCAAAAGAGGAGTGGAGCGCTTGCGTCCGAATGTTAAGAGTACAGCTCTCATCATCCCTGATCATTGGACATGCTGTCTGGGACTGATGGTCAGGACTGATGGGAGTTGGGCTGATTCCAATGACATTTGGAAAATAGGAATATAAGAACATAGGAAACTGTTTTATTCCAAGTCAGACCATAGGCTCATCTAGCTCAGCATTGTTGACAATAACTGATTTTATGTATTTGATATGATTTTATGTATTTGATATTTTATGTGAACCGCCCTGAGACCTTTGGGTGTAGGGCGGCATAGAAATTAAATAAAGAATAAAATAAAAATAGTAACTGGCAGCAGCACTCCAGAAAGTCAGCCAGGGGGTCTCTCCCAGCCCTACCTGGCGATGCTAGGAAGTGAACTTGGGACCTTCTGTATGCTATACCCACTGAGCTACAGCCTATTCCCATCTCAAATGGTCTGCATCTGGGAAACCTTAAAGACTATCCACTCCTATATCTCCCTTGAGCAGAGCTATAAACAGTGCCACTAGCATCTCAAGTAAGAATACTGCTACTACAAAACAGTGTCAGGGACTGGAGGAATGGTGGAGACCGCCTCCCCCTCCTGAACCTTCCAGAGAAGAGGAAGACAGTATAGATTTACAACAGTGGTTTGAGGAAAGTCACAACTCAGAGGTAGAGGAAGGGCAGAGTTGGGAAATAACGGGAGAGGAGGAGGGGAAAACAGTCAGAGCAGCTGGCTGTCACGTTATCACTAGAAAGCAATCCAGACCCCACTTCTCCCAGAACCAAGTGAGCATTGAAAATATGAGAGCAAAGGGCTCGTTGGCAAATGTCCCTAAGCGGCCACCGTAAAGTGGGTGGTGCTGTTGACGACTGAGGAGAGAAGGGGGATGGGGATTAGTCAGAGCAATGCCATTACTCTAAGAGGCACCATTTCTAAGCCTCTCTGTGAATATTGAATAAAAGACATTGGTAAGAACTCTCCCTGTTTTGTCTATTCCTGGCAGCGTACTGGGGGTGGATGGGTCGGATTCCCTGAAGCCTGACAAACAGAGCTTTTTGCAGTGGGGGTACCCATTGTATCAAGTTCCCTCCTGAGGAAAATATGCCCCACTTGCCCCACTGTGGTTTTTAAGAAAAGCAATAAAGACCATGCTTTCTAACCAGGCTTCTGAGGAGCTAGCTTAAGGTGCACTGCTAGAAAGCTGACTTGAACCCTCCGTTCTTCATTTGTTTTTCACTGTTGCTTTTTAAAAATACACTTACGACCGTATGTATATTTGGGGCAGGTGTGAACCCAGAAGATGCTTACCATGCATATCATGGAGGTTTTCGCCCCAAGTCGAGCAGCTTGGACACACTGGTTGGCACCTTTCCCTCCAAATCCAGAGAAAAACCTGTGACCGTGTATGGTTTCTCCAGCTTTTGGCAGGCGTGTGGTAAGGCTGGCAGTTAAAGAAAGAAATATAATATGGGGTTTGAGTGAATTAACAACTGAAATCATAAGAATTACAAACCTCATACTAATTGGGCATATACATAATGTAATAGGGGAATCAAAGCTATTGGGATACATCCAAAAGTACTTACAATAGTAATCCAGTACAGTGGTACCTCTGGATACAGACGCTTCAGGTTACAGACGCTTCAGGTTACAGACTCCGCTAACCCAGAAATAGTACCTCAGGTTAAGAACTTTGCTTCAGGATGAGAACAGAAATCGTGCTCTGGCGGCGCAGCAGCAGCAGCAGCGGGAGACCCCATTAGCTAAAGTGGTGCTTCAGGTTAAGAACAGTTTCAGGTTAAGAACGGACCTCCGGAACGAATTAAGTACTTAACCTGAGGTACCACTGTATAGGTAAATGCAGTCTCTTTCACTATAAGCCTCTCCATTCAAATTTTCTCCACCACTATAACTATCGCGAAGAAAAACAGGCCTCACAACAGATGCATTGAACTTTGTTGTTAACAGATATGTCACAGCAGAAGGTGGTACCAAGAACCACAAGGTCCAAAATAAAGCTTTAAAGTTCCCGGGTCAACAGCTTTGCATAGGGCTAGGGAAGCTGTTGCTCCCCCACTGTTGCTGGATTACCATTTTCATCACCCTTGGTCATTGGGAGTCGGAAGCCAACATTTGGAGGGCCACAATATCCCCATCCATGGCTTAATAGAAGAGGATGAGACAGTTACCTTTGCTAATGATAACATATGCTATAAAAAAATTAAAACCTAACTAGATATTTTTTTTTTACAAAAAATGCAATTGCACAATTATGCCAGGAATCTGATGAAAACCACTCAGCAAATTCTATGTAATTCTCTCTCTCTTTCTCTCTCTCTCACACACACACACACACACACATAGCAATCATCAGAAAGAACAATTCTTCCTCAAACACATTTCCACCTTGCATATTAAACATACTCCCAAACACTCATCTATACGCAGTTATGGAAGGTTCACTTTTACCGATACAGCTATTAATAAAATAGAAGTATTGTTAAAATGTAATGCTATTATCTTGTCACAGATTTCTGCAATGAGAAGCAATTATTAGATTTTGCTTTTCATCAGACTAGCTTAAAAGGCATTTCAGACCGCTGCTTTGAATTGACAATGATGAGTAATCTGTACGATTAAGGAAGCATCGGAATTCTACACTTACTAACATTGCCACAAAACTGCATAATAGACCAAAAGCACACATACGCAGAAACAGCTAACGTTACAAACTAAACCCAAACAACTTTGTTAGGATGTTCACAATTGTTGCCTACAACATTTTCTACGGTAATTCATAACTGACATAAACATTCAGACTGCCACCTTACGCAGACTTATCAAGGAATAATTCTCATTGTGCTCAGTGGGAATTATTTCTGATGTAAGCATGGTTAGAATTACATACACTGCAAGCAAAATGGCTATGTGCACACCACTGAAATAGTCTACAGATGAGTTAACATAATTTCCATTCCACTGTATACAGCACACTCTGTAATGTAATCAGAATTAAATTAAATCAACTCTTTCCCCAATTTTCTTCCCAGTTTAATTGTGCATGTTACCAATTAATCTTGACCTTTGTTAATATAATAGCTATTTTGCACTACCTCTTCTCTTTCTGGCACCATGTCACTGCTGATGGTGCTTTGAGACACAGCCTCTCTGAAAGGTTCTTCTTGAGGGACTGATGGAATGATAGACAGGAATGTATTCTGCTTATATCAGGGATCCCCCACTGTATCAGGGATCAACCATAAAAGAAAAGAACACATCCCCAAACAACCAACTCCCCCTACAAAAGTCTTGTTTTTTTAAAAAAGAAACTGACAGGTATCTGCAGGTATCAGGGTGCCTAAGGGTGCCATATTGGGAACTCCCAGTCTCTATGGTCACCTGGTGTGTGAGCTGCCATCTTTCAATTTCAGAAATTTGACACGATATATGCTGCACACCACCCAGGAACCTGACTTGATGAAGGGTAGGTGGCACAAAAATATTTTCCCCTCTTATACCTGCTTTTCCTCATACAGATCCTGGAGCTGCTAACATTTGTAAAATTCAACATAAAAAAGTTAAAACACATATCACACTCAGTTAATCCAACAGGGCTACTCTCACTATGCTCTAAAAACCTGCAAAAATAGGTAGGTCACTAGCTGCTACCTTGATGAATATAAAGAAGAGGACAGCTATATCTATACTGGGCAGGAGTTCAAAAAATGAGGTGCTGCCACTGAGAAGACCCTGCTACTCACTCCAGCTCATACTCATGAGGGTACCATAAGCCAGGCCTCCCCATAGATCTCAAAACTCAAGTAGGTTTTTACTGGGGAACTCCAAGCACTTCTTAAAATAAGTAACAGAAAAGGTCCCATGTAAGTATTTTTTCAAACATTAACATAGAGATGGATTGAGATCGTTTGTATTCAGTGGTCAAAATTTACTGCCTTGCCAAAGACTATCAGAAATCCCACAATACGACTGAATTACCGTATTTTTTACTCTATAAGACTCACTTTTTCCCTCCTAAAAAGTAAAGGGAAATGTGTGTGCGTCTTATGGAGCGAATGCAGGCTGCGCAGCTTTCTCAGAAGCCAGAACAGCAAGAGGGATTGCTGCTTTCACTACGCAGCAATCCCTCTTGCTGTTCTGGCTTCTGAGATTCAGAATATTTTTTTTCTTGTTTTCCTCCTTCAAAAACTAGGTGCGTCTTATGGTCTGGTGTGTCTTATAGAGCGAAAAATACGGTAATTCTCATCTATAGCCTCTCTTCATTGGTCCTTACTTATGTTACATCATGAGAGAATTGTGAACGCAAAGCAAAATCCCCTGGAAAAATCTGATTTGACCTCCTTCCCCCATTCTATTTTTGTTTCATTCAGGAAAGTGGAGCAGTGACTCATTTATTTGTAGCACTGTTCATGCAGCAATTAACACATACAGGAATAAAAATTGATACAAAGAGTGAAACCCTACTACCTACGGCTGGGGAAGACCATTCAGATAAGGGGTCTGAGAGCAACTGCCATAGCTGCTGCTGCTACCACAGAGCAACATGTTAAATTGTGCACTGGGGCTGAGCTCAACAACCTGTCACTTTACACTGCAATTTTAAGCATGTCTGTTCAATAGGACTTCCTCCCCTGCGCACATGTATAGAAAGTATACAGAAGCATATTAAATAAAAGGAATTTAAAGAGAAATCTTCAACGGTGAGCGATCTGCTTATAAACCTTGGTGTACTGGGTTTGTCACACATCATGAGTTTTGAGCAGAAGTCTTAAATGCATTGCTTTGAAGAAAATACTTAATAACCAAGGAAACGGGCAAAAGAACTGGCAAGGAGGCATGCTAAATGCCACATAGCAGAAGATGTTTACACAGGACTTTGTTCCTGGCAACAAAAAATGTTATAAGGGTGTTGACAACACAGCACAATGTTCAGTTTGTGAATATCTTAAAATATGGTGAGATGGAGTGAAAACTTTGCAGGGGATCCAAAGCACGTCTCTCAACCTCCAAAGTCCAAGTAAGTTTGAAAAAAAACACCAAATAAGGGAGAGAGGGAGGAAGTCAGATTTACTCATGGTACTGTAATTTGTAAAAAATTATCTCATATCAAGAAGGTACAGTGGTACCTCGGGTTAAATACGCTTCAGGTTACAGACTCTGCTAACCCAAAAATAGTACCTCGGGTTAAGAACTTTGCTTCAGGATGAGAACAGAAATTGTGCTTCAGCGGCGCGGCGGCAGCAGGAGGCCCCATTGGCTAAAGTGGTGCTTCAGGTTAAGAACAGTTTCAGGTTAAGAACAGACCTCTGGAACGAATTACGTACTTAACCCGAGGTACCACTGTATAATGCATTTGGAGGAGTCCCTGCCTATAGTCCTAGCCTACAGTGGTGTGGGTAAGGGGCTCTCAGATCATCACAGGATGTCCCTGAAGTCTTGCCACTGGTTCCTCACAACTTTGGTTATGACAACCAGAGTGAGGGCTTGCTTGAGACAAATAGTAACCAGGTCGCTAACAGAAGAGACTGGCTCAACATATTGTCTATGAAGAATCTTATTTTTGCAAGTCTTGTTGATTCCACCTTTGGACTGAGCTGTAAGAATGAACAGAGTCCATATAATACAAGATCAAGGGCAAACTGGCTCCTGTGTGAGTCGAGTTTCACATTCCCATGGAGGATCCATGGAGGATGATCATGCAAGGAGATAGATCACTGGGAGAAATGCCCTTCTTCTGCCACTACTTAACTACAAAGGCTCAGGGTGGCTACATCTCAGCAATGTGGGCAACTGAGCACACTTGTGACAAGGCATGAGAAGAGAACCTCTCGCAGCTTGTACATAAAAGTTGAAAAGGGCAGGACAAGGATGCCAGCCATACTTTAGCTTTGACAACAGGATTTTTACAAGTTCCCTCCTTTCCCAGATTCCTTGGAAGCTGGTGCCACTTATATTATCCGTTCAGTGTTCAAGACTTACAAATTCAATTTATGTCCAGATAATGGGTGCTGGTGGCAAAGAAGAAACTGCATCATCAGAATTCTAGCACCCAGAAGTGATTGTATTATTTTTTGCCCTCTTAACCCTCATCAGGATTAAATATTAGCCACGTCTGCAGCCACTGCCTGATTTCTGCAGTCTGGCACACAGCACTCATTTTTAGCACTAGACTGACAACTGATGCCAACGTGATGCCATGCACCACTTCTCATGCCACTTTCTACCAGTCGTGGGAAACCCTCTGCTCACAGTGTTATACCTGATCATCCTTAAAATTCTTAAGCACGTCTCGTTCTTGTTCAAATCTATTAATCCTCTGCTTTTCTTGTCTAACCCTAAAATTCCATCTAATTTTACTTACAGCTGCAAATTCCCATAGTTTAGTGAACCACTCTTTTAGAGGAATTTCCTTTCCCCCAGTATTTTACACGCAGCATCCTAGCTGCTAACATCATATAAAAGACATCCTGCGAATATTAAATATGATTTCTTGAAATAAATGTTTTGCCTCTGGGAAGTCCACCAACAGTGGATAACATCCACTCTGTTCAACACTTCCAAGGGTTACTGTTACCAGTATCACATATACCCTTTTAAAAGAGTTGAATATCACCTAGTCTATAACTTGGGTTTTTTATTAATGATATTGATACAATTCATATTGTTCATATATTCCCCCATATCCTCTAGAACCCCCTCTCCTATCACTGCTTCCCATTTTCAAGTGTAATCCTATTTTCTGTCTTCTCTCTTACTCAGTATAATTTGGTAAATTTCAAACAGCATATTTCTTGGTTTCTCTCAAATTAATCCTTCAACAGTATTTAACTCTCTCAATTCCACTCTGCATCTGAACTCTCTCTTATTTGAAGATATTCAAATACTAGTGGCCTTATTATCACTCAAAATTTCCTTAACCCTGCTCAGGGGCCTGACCTGATTACTGTTAAAATTCCACTGGAATGATTCCATTTTTGTTAAACTGTTGCTAAAATAGCCGCATCCAGTGATGATCCAATTTCTGTTTTAAGAAACAGAAACAGTTTTTAAATTTACCCTCCCCACACACTTTCCATAGTGCTGCTAATCCCTTTTTCCAATTTTTATCTTAATTTTCTGTGCACAAGGACACATTTGGTGCAATTCCAGCAGAATAGTTTTCCAAATTGTTTACACAGTATAGCCTTCTCCTGTTTCATAAGAACTTTTAACCGATCCATTTCATGGGCTGCTTCTGTAGCAGTAGACACACTAAGCTTTACTCAAAGGATATCTACTGAAATGAATGGACCTAAGTTAGTCATATCCATTAATTTCAATGGGTCTACTCTGATTAACACTGCCTATAACCCAAAATATGTAATTTAAAGGAGGATATATCCATAGATGTCAGGAAGAAGCCTGTGCTATGATCAGATCTGTGGTCCATAAATTTGTTAATCCAGCATACCTGAATCTCAAATAACTTTGACTGGAATGGAACAAAGCCAGTTGACACAGTTTTGAAATCATACTATCTAATATCAAAAGGTTACTGATCTCTGGCAAACATATTTCTTAAATGCAGATGATAGAAAGGTTAAGGTCACAATCATATGCACACTAACCTGGAAGTAAGCTCTACTGAATGCAGTGGAACTAACTTCTAAGTTTCAGGTAATAATAAGGGCTAAAGCTAGTTTTTCATTGCATGTTTCTTTGGAGTTGGCTAAAAACAGTGTCATGTGACAGGCAAACTGAAATGCTCCCAAATGATGAAAAGCAATAGAAATTTCTCCGGGAATTTCAGTGCACAAACTGTAGTCATCAGACTGCAATTCATATGTGTTCTTTCCACCCAGGCACAGAAGACGCTTTCGAGTTGCTGATTTTATTTCATTTTAAACATAACTGTTTTCGTTCTAAGATCAAACAACTCCAATTCACTTATTCCATTACCCATGCTAAGGCCCCAAAGAATTAAGCAATGGTTTCCAAGCCCCATGTGGGCTATAATGCCATGGAGCTTGGTAAAGGCAAGCCTTATCTCACAATCCATAATTTTTAATTGCCAGTACTCAGAGGAATGCCTAAATCTTCCACTGATGGCATCACAGTCTACTGCCATGGAAATAGTTAGCACTACAAACAGCGACCTCACCTCTATGGAAAACAGAGAAGACTGTGTAAAGTGGAAATGACAGCTGGGATAAATCAGCCTTCAAATATAATAAACATTTAAAGTAGCCTGCTTAAACATACAAACAGACGAACACACACCAACAGTTCATACTGGCCTAGGGATCACTGTAGGACACACAAGTTTCTGGAAATGTCCATGTGTCCTTACACACTCCTGTGCTGTTTCTATCTGCAGGATCTGCACCATCTGAGAATTTATTATTCATCCTCTCAGGGCTGGCCAACATCTCTAATCTCAGTCCCTGCTCCTCAGTTGTTACCATCCTGCATCTAGCTGATCTTTACTGGGATTGTGGTTCTGCGTACCAAAGTTTAAGAAGGCTGCCAACAAACTGGAGCGTGTCCAGAGGAGCATAACAAAGATGACATGGGTCCTGGAGGGCAAGACCTATGAGGAAAGTTGTGGGGCACACAGCAGAAGAGACCATTTAGAGGTGACACAGCAGCCATCTTCAAATATTTGAAAGGTTGTCACATGGATGATGGAGCAAATTTGTTTTCTGTTGCTCCACAGGGTAGTACATGAACCAATAGCCCCAAAATACAATAAAGGGGATTTTGATTAGACTTCAGGAAATATGTGTTCATGGTATGAGCTGCTTGGGGAAGAAATGGATTGCCTTGGAAGTTATAGACCAGGGGTCAGCAACCTTTTTCAGCCATGGGCCAGTCCACCATCCCTCAGACCATGTGGTGGGCCAGATTATTATTTTTTTGGGAGGGAATGAATGAATTCCTATGCCCCACAAATAACCCAGAGATGCATTTTAAATAAAAGCACACGTTCTACCCATGTAAAAACATGCTGATTCTCGGACCATCCATGGGCCGGATTGAGAAGGCAATCTGGCCAGATCTGGCCCTGGGCCTTAGTTTGCCTACCCATGAACTAAGCCATTTGCTGCACAACAGTAGATTTTCTGTTGCATGGAGTTAAACTAGATAGCCTTTGAGGTTATTTCTGCTTCTCTGTTTCTACGATTCTAAGCTCTCCACTTTGCCCCTTGTCCCATCTGTTATATTCCTGCCACACATCAAGCACATTTCAACAACAAACCATGAGCTGTAAAACCATAGGACAAACCTTGCTTATAGGGCATGGTTAGCCTGGAGAGAACTAAAGCATGAGCAAAACAGCCACAATCTCCTCCCTGGGAGTCCCCCCCCCATGCTAAACCATGGTTTGTGAGTAAAACAGACCATTGAAACTAATGGGCATGACTAGTTCGGGATCTTTAATTTCAAAGGATCTACCCTAAGTAGAACTTACTTAGTGGAACCCAAATGAACAATTAACACAACTGCCAGGCTTCTGACACACATCTTGGTGTCTTGGATAATACCTTCAGTGACTCTGGGTCACATGCCCAGTGACTACAATGAATATATTCTGTGGCAACAAACCATTTAGAAAATGAAAATCAGAAATGCAACTGGCCACTGTGAAACATTTTAAAGGTTTAGGGCTTTTAGTCAAGTGCCTGCTTAGAGATCTGTATAATGTATTTTCTCTTTCGCGGGTGAACAGCTTTAATTACAGGCTAACTAACAATGAAACAGAATGATAACTCAAATGTTTTGTTGAGAGTTTATAGATGTGTTTAAGGCTGGATGGAGAAAAAGAGCTGGAAGGTGGCTCCAGGCACATTCGCCAACATGAAAGAAGGCACGCATTCTGGAGAGGAGGAGAGAAAGACAAAGGGAAGGTGGAGAAGTCTAGGCAGATCGTGGGGAGTGGAGGAATGCAGGCGGAGATAAGGGCTGTGCAGGGAAGGAAATTTGTTTTCTCCTCAAAGAACCCAAAGCAGTTTTTTCAAATCTTGGGGAGATACAAATCTTGAAAACTGGTTTTTGGGAAATCTATGAAGGGAATGGAAACAACTTGTTGTAATAGGAAAAAAGAAATAATGAGGCCAAGAGAGAACATTCTAAAAACAATACTGTTCATGGTTGCACATCAAAGGAGGAGTTGCACAGAGCAGACAGAAGTAAAAGATAACTGCACACACACATTTAGAGCAGGGTTGGTACCCTGGAAGGAAAAATAACCTATTCAGTATCTTGGGCTTAACGGGAAAGAAATACCTTCAGCAACTGTCCTTATTTGCCTGCCACAGTAAGACAAACTATTGCTTACAGGGACTGCTCATGGCTAGCAAGAAGAGAACTCAAGAACTTATGTTCAGACAACATGCCAAGCCAAACTTTGCTTGGCAGAGAAATAAAAAAAACCACTGGGGTAGGAGCAAAGCAGCAGTGAACTCCTCTCAGGGAAACTGCATGTTTGTGAATTCTAGTAAGCCAGAGTTTACCACAAACTAAGCCAGGGGTCAGCAAATTTTTTCAGCAGGGGGCCGGTCCACTTGTCCCTCAGACCTTATGGGTGGGCAGAATATATTTTGGTGTTTTTATTTGGGGGGGGGGATGAACAAATTCCTATGCCCTACAAATAAACCAGAGATGCATTTTAAATAAAAGCACACATTCTACTCATGTAAAAACACCAGGCAGGCCCCACAAATAACCCAGAGATGCATTTTAAATAAAAGGACAGATTCTAATCATGCAAAAACACGCTGATTCCTGGACCGCCCGCAGGCTGGATTTAGAAGGCAATCTGGCCGGATCTGGCCCCGGGCCTTAGTTTGCCTACCCATGAACTAAGCCATTTGCTTACTGTGATGTTTGGAACCAGGTGCCACCACATATAATTGAGCTTCACAATAGGTCTGTGTGGTATAAGAAGCTAAAATACACTTTTACATATGGCTTTTATGTGTGTATGGCTTTAAAAGAGGCTTAGACAAATTCATGGAGGCTGAGGCTGTCAGTGGCTACTAACCCTGATGGCTATGTTCTCTTCCACCAGGGATCAAGCCTTAGGAGTGACAGGCCCTGCCTGTGGAACTCCTTGCAAGTAGAGGTCTGGAAGGAGTCAACCCTGCCTTATTTTGAAACTTGCATTTTTAAACCTACCAGTATTAATTGCTATTTATTTATTTTTTAGTAAGATTTTATGTTGTAAATTGCCAATTGTTGGCTGCAATTATATTTTAGTAAATTGTGGGTTGCTTGCTTTATCAGCTGTTGGTTTGCTGATATTTTACTTGTGAGTATATTGTACTATATATTAATTTTATTGGAAACCTCTTTGGAAGAGTTTACTCTTCAAGATGGCATATAAATGTTTCAAATAAATGCTATGCTGGTGGAATGCCAAATACGCTGGTGGCATGACAAATACGCCAGCAGAACTCTTCTAATACACTTGCAGATGCCTCCATTCGCAGAGCCATTTCCGGCAGAATAAAGTATAGGATTGCTCTGCCTATCTTTTGAATGTATTTATGATTATGGTTTATTGTTACTCAGTGTTAAGCTTTGGTAGATTGATGCTGCCTTTATCATTTCCTAAAATCTAAGGCATATATTTTTCATTGTTCCTCCTCAGCCAATCAGCCTATTAAAAAATATTATTAACAGAACTGAGTACAAGATAGGACTAGAAATCAGGATGCGATTCCTATTTTTGGGTGGTGAAAATAGCAAGCCAGACACAAATGAATCCCCATGAGAGGGTAAGAACTGAAATATTGTTTGCCCACAACAAGCATACGTGCTTGGTTTCAGGGTTGCAACTTTTCTTGTTCTCAAAAAAATTAGAAGGAAGCAATATTATTGCTCTGATTGTTTCAGCATAGCTCTCTGCATTTAATTTCATCTATTACAGCAATTTTCCATTTTAAATTCAGTTATTTTTAGTGTGTCTCATTCTCACTAGCCTTGTGTACTGGAACTCTCAACTGCATGAAATGCTACGCAGATCTTAAGCCAATACTGGCCATCTCTAAGTTCCCTTCATTGCCATTCTATAGCATTCCTGCAATGTTGCATGAACATATATGTTGATCCGGAATAAGACAATACGTGTGTAGATTCATGTAATGAGCTAAAGACTGAAGGTTTTGTCAACTTACTGGCAGGATGCTGGAGGATAGGGCAGTAGTAAGCCATTCCCAATCCTCTATTTCCACATAAAGTTTCCTAAATTCTAGAGCAAAATGGGGGGGAGAGTTTTTGGACCAGCAGGTGGAATGGATGAGAGCTGGAATCCAACAACATCTGGAGGGCCACAGGTTCCTATTCTAGCTTTAACATCCCTTTTCTAGAGCGTCAGGTGTAAATAGACCTGACATAGTCTCTCCCACTGTTAACAGCAATTAAAATGCCAATGCCACCAACAGACATTTAAAATTCGAACATTTAAAGGCTTATCATCAATCCTCAACACAGTATACACAAAACATGCTAGCCTTCTTATACAAAATGAAAGAACAAGGTCTCATGAGGGCCTTTTAGCATTTTTATAGTGCAATACTATGCATCTCTTCTCACAAATATGTCCCACTGAATTCAATGAAATGTACTCCCAGGTAATTAAGTAATGGTATTATAGCCTTAACTTTCCGGGGGGAAGAAACCTACATATGCCAAAATTCAGGGGTGCTTTATAGAGTCACTGACATTGACAATCAATACAACAGAATGCAGTGGGGGAAAACAGTGTGTGTTTGAACATCACAATAAACCATAAGTTTCAGATTTTAAACCAATCTGTTTAGTGTTTTCTTTGTTGTACTTAAGTCAGTGTGGACGCAAAAGTGTTTTTAATTTTGCAAAAGATAGCATATTATTTTTATTTTTTTTAGTTTTATTCTTCCCTGTCTAATTAGTTTTAGGGAACAAACATAAAAGCTATTCATTAGCAGTAATATGTAATCTGCTCCAAATATTTGCTTAAATTAGTATTTGCAAAGTGTGTTCCGAGTAACTCTGGGATTTAACTGAAACTCTTCAGGGATTTCTTGATGAGAAGATAGATAATTATGGATATGCTGCCTGAAAGACTGTTGGGGAACTATTACTGATTTACCCTGAAATGCATAGTTGAAGAAAAGTAATGGAAGCATTTTAGGGTGACAAGTGAGCTTAACAAACCTGGCTGTGTGCTTGTCAGCCGACTGCAACCTAGACCAGGGTTGGAGGGTTTTTGTTTTTTCCAGTCCAAGGACTGCATTCTTTCAGGGACAACCTTCTAGGAGCCACTGGTCTATAGCGGGCAGAGCAATGGATGGAAGACTTACTTTTGCACAACAGGTTACATTTTAGGCACACAAATACCAGAGGTTTCTACACATACACACACCTCTCCAGCCCTCATCCAAACAAGACAAATTATCAGAGACCAAGGAAACATTCTAGCCACACAAAATTACTTGAGGGTTTGAGTAGGGCCAGTAAGAGATGTGGCCAGAGGAACAGGGAGAGTCTTAAGGGCCAGATAGAGACATGTGGTCCAAAGTTTTCCATCTCTGCCTTAGACCACTGATCTTCAGCTAGTGAGCTGGGACCCAACATGGGGCCATGATCTAAGGAGATTTGAAACAGCAGGTGGCAAAAAAGAGAAAAGAAATGGGTCTCCCAATGTATGTTTGGGCTAAAGGTGGGTCCCTGGTTTGAAATTATTCAAGGCCGCTGCCTTAGAACATGCTCCAGAATCCTCTGAAAGACACTTGTAAGAATTTTGAAGCAGTCATCAACAATCCATCAAATGAAGAAAGTGCTCCTGGAAATTATTGACTAAGTAAGTAAGTCACCCATCAATTCTGTAGCAGGTCACATTGGTCTCAGAACAATACTTTCATTTGCAGTAGGAAGGCAAAAGCGCATCAGGCAGATATTCCTGTTTCCACTGGACCATAGCTCTGTGGCAGACCACTTGCGATGCATGCAGAAGGGCCCAGGCTCAACCTTAAGGCATCTACACTTAAAAGGACCCAGTGGCAGGTGCTGGGAAACATCCCTGCCTGAAACCCTGGAAAGCCACACCCAGAAAGAATAGATGGACAAAAAGCCTGACTTGATATAAGGTAGCTTCCTATGTTCTTGGGGGTATTTTTGTTTGTCGTTATGACTGTAAGGCTATTGATAGATCTTATACATCTTATGACTGTTGTGAACTTCTCTTTAACTCTGGTAAAAAATGGGATACTAAGTAAATAATGTCAGGGAATGGAGAATACATAATGGCAGAACATGGGATCCATTGTGGACTGTACCTTATTCTTCCTGTATAAACAGCAGGTTATTTCATTTTCATCAGTGCACATGATGCAAAGTAGGTACTTTTGTCTTAGTTGGAAGGAATATGGTTACTTGAGTCACACTGAGCATGGGGAATTAGAATTCTTCAGTTCTGCTTGTATATCCCACTAAGAGTTATTAACATATTAACTCATGAGAACTGAAAAGACAAAGTCCACATTGATGGTTTCACTGGGATACACGGAACTGTAAGAATATGCGAACTTTTAACTTTTTTTCGGCTCACACAAAAAAAGCTATGTGAACCTAAAATTACTTCAAAAGCTTGCATGTGTTCACAAATTAAAGTTGGTTTCTGCCTCAGAAATAATTTTTAAGGTACTTTAACTACAATTTGTATTCACAGTCAACACACAAATGACTAAAGTTTTTCCCTACTTCTTCAGTTCAATTAATATGTGCAGAGAGGCGACTGCAATTACAAAAGGATAGTATTTATTTTGGACTTATTAGGAGAACATTATGCGTGTACCAGTGAAACCACCCCTCTGCATATTTACTCAGAAGTAAGTCACACTGGGTGGTATGCAGTGCTTTTTTCAGGGGGGGACGCAGGGGGATGCATACCCCTAAACATTTTGTTAATCTTTGTACTTTTGTCCATTTACTGTATTCATTTCCCCCCGATTTGAACTATAAAATGGTGATTTCCTTGAGTCAAAATGAGAGTGCCCCTAAACATTTTTTAAGAAAAAAAAAGCACCGGTGGTATGCCATGAAATAGTTGTGCTAGTGCAATAATTAGTTCCAGAATTGGTGCAAGTGAAAAAGGATTACTCATTACTTTCTTCCCTACGTCTGTTCCAGAGGGTTTGGTGGCAGCGGGGGACAGGACCCAGAACAAGTTGGGGTTGTGTGGAAAGGAGAATGTTCCATTGTGGAAAGAGAAATTGTGCTAGCTGAATGGCTCACATGCACTGCTGCATGCTACCCTCAGAGTTCACAGGGACTTGCTCCCAAGTGTACATCTTAGGCATGCTTCAGAAGAAACCTCCATGACATCTATTAGGCTGCAGCAGAGAGAGAGAGAGAGTGAGCCCATTTGTCAGCTCTGTTGAAATATGAAGTCCATTGGGCCTTTTGCCCCTCAACTGCCACCTGACATCAGCCCCTCAAGCAAACTGCAGTGGAGGGAAGAGAGAAACCAGTTCACTTGGGGCTCCTGCTCTCTTTGGAACTCTTTCCAATCCAGTTGGCCATGATGAACTTCGCCACTAAGACCAGAGTTTGCTCTTTCCCTCCCCCTGCTCTCTACTTCCAGAGACTTGGGCTTGCGGGGCCTCCTCCTCTCCCTGGACTCTGCAGCCACTTCGCTGTAAGAGCCTTAAGAAAACCGAACCAGCTGGTAAAACAAGGGGCGCAGCAGCAGCAGCAGAGGATCCCATTTGCCATACTAACCTCACCAGATCAGTCATACAGGATCCCACCACCACGACCTCAGCAGCTGCCATGTCAGAGAGAGGTTTAGGACCACAGCACCTAACCTGACTCGCATCTACCTGAGCTGCCTGGGCACTAACTCTCCAACCTTTGCCACAGGGGAGTCCTTCGCCTGCCCGCTATGTGCGCCCGCCAAGGCGCCTGAGTTTTTACTTCGCGCTTTCCCGAACTCTGACTGCGGAGCGAGCTCAGCACACCGTTATCAGAGCACCCCATTATAACTCTGCTGCCCGTTCTAACGAGCGCGAATTTTTTTTTTCAGGCGCGCTTTAGTCGCCTATATATCCCCGGAAGCCCCGATTTTCTTTTTTTTAAAAAAACTGCCTATCGGGTGCGCGCTTGGCTTTTCTGCAGGAGATTGGCGCGCGGGCGCGCACGCAGGAGCGTGCTGGGCGGAGTGGGAGGGTCTACGCAGGCGCGCGGGGCAAGGCGAGTGGCAGCTGCTGGGTTTCTTGGAGGTTTGTTTGCCCGTACTTCTCCCCCCCCCCGTGCAGTCTCCCTTTACACACAGCAACAGGGGGTGGGGTGGGGGGCAAAGATGGTTCCCCTTCAGGCTGGGTGGGGTGGGTGGATGCTGGTGGGGTTTCTCCACCCCTCCTCTTTCTCTTCTTATTAGGGGAGCAAAGCATGAAGGAAGGGGCTTGGCTTGGCTGGGGGGGGGGGGAGGGACAACAACCCCTCAGACCTGGGCATTTGACGGGGGGAGACCGTTTTATAGGAAACAGCCACTACCAATTGTGTGTAAGGCTTGTGCTGCACTTACTTGTAGGTGCTGTTAATTTATGAATCAATACTGCTGCTCATAATACCCGTTTCCTGTGTTTCTTAATAGATTGCAGGGTTGCAGCAGCTGGTGTGCCCTTGCTGGGCTCATGTGCCACTCATTCTTGCTACAGGTAGAAAGCCAGTTGTAGTGGATAAGTCCCCTGGCTCAGGCATCATCTCTGCCATGAGCTTAAGCAGCCATTTAACTGGATCCGCTGCATCTGCAATATGGGTATAATAAATAAATAAAAAATTGGTCCAGTAGCACCTTAGAGACCACATAAAAGCTTATACAGTGGTACCTCGGGTTACAGACGCTTCAGGTTACAGACTCTGCTAACCCAGAAATAATACCTCGGGTTAAGAACTTTGCTTCAGAATGAGAACAGATATTGCATGGCGGCGGCAGCAGGACGCCCCATTAGCTAAAGTAGTACCTCAGGTTAAGAACAGTTTCAGGTTAAGAATGGACCTCCAGAACAAATTAAGTTCTTAACCTGAGGTACCACTGTACCCAGAACAAACTTAGTTGGTCTCTAAGGTGCTACTGGACCAAAACAATTCTTTATTTATTTTGACTGCGTCAGACCAACACAGCTACCTACCTGAATCTAGAATCATGGGTATAATAATTCTTTTAAGTATACACACACACACACACACACACACTTTCCAAGTTTATACATTTCACTAATTTTACAGTCATTTTAACATTTCAAAATTGGGAAACAGGTATAATAATTCTAGTCTACCGTGTAAGGTTGTTGTGATATGACGTGTGTGAAGTGTGCATTCGGCGCTTGAACAGCTATCTGTGCATGCCAAGTATGAGTATTTTATGTTACGTTGAGGAAAACTGTTGAGTTTTACAACACATAGCTGTCAAAGGTAAGGGTGCCCTACAAAAACAAGTGCCAGCTGCCTACCATTGATATGAGGATAGGAGCTTGAAGAACTGCTTCCAGTCAGAGTTGACAGTACTGGGCTAGACGGACCAGTGCTCTGACTTGGGATAAGACAGCTTCATGTGAGGGTTGTGTAAACAATTTATAAATTTATGAATCTATAAATAAAAGTGGGAAATGATTCAATGGCATTTAACCATTTATCTTATTTCTGAAATGTTCAGTTTTGTTTGCAGCACTGTAGTCTTCTGCACTTTTATATGAATATTGTCATATACTACTTACAAAGTTTAATGCAATCTCATATGTAGTATTTGGGCAGAAATTCAAAGCACGTTAAGTTTTCTATTGTTACTAAGAGACACTTTTCTCCCAATATTTTTTTTCGATTTTATTTGGATAAAAATAATAAGCACAGCATATTTGATCTCGGTTCTGACTTAACAAGGTATTTTAGTAAATTGTTTGGAATGGTAGGTAAATTTTATACTCTGGTAAACTTTAAAATGTGTTAATGGTCACTAAGCTCATTGAGAGATTAATAAAAAGGGCACTGTCCAACTGCTGAAGTAACTATCCGGCCTGCACAACTGGTGACACACTGAGTTGAGCACAGCCCATCAGCTGGATACAGTTGTCTGCCAAGAGCCTGACAACCACCCCTCCACCTCTGCTTTTGTCACCCCAAGCAACCAGCAGAACCAGAAGATTTATCAAGTCAGTGGTGGGCTATTCTCATCTTGTTAGGTCATAAGTTGTGTTGTATTTTATAATGGACCACTGAACAAAATGAGAGAACCATGTTTTATGAGTGAGATGCTTACTAAATATTAGGAGTGCAAATGGTTGTGTGGCTATAACTGTGGACCATAGCCAAGTGGATGGGCAGCAGCTAGCCCAAATGTGCCCCCTGTTCCCAGCAGGCTTTGCTTCCATTTCCTTTCCCTTGGCCCCTACTTGCATCAGCCTTTTTTAAAAAGTTGCTTGCTTTCATCATCCTTTCCTTGCTTGCCTTGTCTTTGGCCCTGCCTTGTGTGTCAGGTCTCAAGAGTTGTCTCTTTTAAAATATGTATAGAAATGGTGTGGCTACTCTTTGATACGTTCACAATTATTTTTCCTTGCAGAACTGTGTGCACCTTGCAGATTAGGATGTCCCCTGAAGTTGCTTTGCACAGAATATCTCCAGCACTTTCTCCTTTTGTTTCTAATGTGGTCAGGAATGGAAAGGTCGGATTGGATGCAACTAACTGTTTAAGGATTACAGATCTGAAATCTGGGTAAGTGCCCTCAATGAATTCAAATAATGTCTATGTGCCAATTTTTGTTGTCAGTAATCACATTCAATTTATTTGGAATGAAGAAATTTAAGAAGTTTTAGCAAGGCTATAGAAATCGTGATGTGTAGTGCAACACAATTGGATTTAATATTATTATTCATTGGTAGAGCTTGGTACAGTGGTGCCTCGCAAGACGAAATTAATCCGTTCCGCGAGTGTCTTCGTCTAGCGGTTTTTTCGTCTTGCGAAGCAACCCTATTAGCGGCTTAGCGGATTAGCGCTATTAGCGGTTTAGCGGCTATTAAAGGCTTATCGGCTTAGCAGTTTAGCTGCTAAAAGGCTATTAGCGGCTTAGCGGCTTAGAAAAAGGGGGGGGGAAAGCAAAAAAAATATCTCAAGACTCGCAAGACATTTTCGTCTTGCGAAGCAAGCCCATAGGGAAATTCGTCCTGCGAAGCAACTCAAAAACGGAAAACCCTTTCGTCTAGCGGGTTTTCCATCTTGCGAGGCATTCGTCTTGCGGGGCACCACTGTAATTGATTTCAGAAATTAATCTAATGTGTTTGAGCATTTCATTTCCATATCACATTTGGTTTTGTATCCAACCCTAAATGCCTGTCTTAAGTATTTGGCTATACATAATCTGAAAAATAGGGCTTCCCCAAAGTTAACTTTTCTTAAGATGTTACTGTTAAATGCTAGTTATATTGTGTAAGAATTTTCTTGTTGTTGAATACCACCTTTCATCTTTTACTGTTGGCAATAATGCTAGATGGAGGTTTAGCACTAGATCTAGGGACACGGGTGGTGCTGTGGTCTAAACCACTGAGCCTCTTGGGCTTGCTGATCGTAAGGTCAGCAGTTCAAATCCATGCAACGGGGTGAGCTCCCGTTGCTTTGCCCAGCATCTGCCAACCTAGCAGTTCAAAAGCATACCAGCACAAGTAGATAAATAGGTACCGCTGCAGCAGGAAGGTAAACTGCATTTCCATGCACTCTGGCACTTGCCACGGTATTCCGTGCACCAGAATCAGTTTAGTCATGCTGGCCACATGACCCGAAAAAGCTGTCTGCCGGGCAAACGCCGGCTCCCTCAGCCTGAAAGCGGAGATGAGCACCGAACCCCATAGTCAAATTTGACTAGTCTTAATTGTCCAGGGGTCCTTTACCTTTTTTACCTTAGGACTAGGATTGGGCTGAGGAAGAACTTTTATTTTAGGAAAGAACTGCAGCTTAGTGATATAGTGCATGCTTTGCAAGCAAAAGGTCCAAGGTTCAGTCTCCAAAATCTTTACATAGGGAAAATACCCCTATCTGAAACCCTGGAATGCTGCTTCCATACAATGTACTGAGCTAGGTGAACTATGTTCCTAAACATGACTCTTCTACCTGGCCAGAAGGCCACCAATAGATGTAGGATGGTAGCTGTAACTTTGCATACATTACTGATGTCCAATGAACCCTCAGTATAACTTGGTGTTCTATCAGCCACAACCACAAGTCTAGAGAAGCAATAGTAATAAATTTCAGTGGCTGACACTGCTGTCAAGCACGAACACTATGACATGTTTCTGTGCTGATTTCTTCATTAGTGGGTCTGTTCTGACAGCTGACATTTCTGAGCTGTGGGGAATAATTGAGCACAGCTCACACAACATAATAAGCACGTTCTTAACCTAGGGATTTGCTCATATAATTTTAATATAGAATAGGTCTTGCTTTTTCTGGGAAACTCCCCGTAACCTATTTTATTTAAATATTTTATGCTGTCTCTTTCAGCCTATTTAAAGACACCTGACTAATAATACCCATAATAAGATAAAAATAAACAACGACCAACCAACAAATTCATAAAAAATAGTAAAATAAATAAATAAATTGAAACACCAGCAGTAGCGAGATTCAAAACTACTGACGTTGACCACTGCCTAAGTCATACATGTTCATCTGAAAGAGGGAGCCAGGTGTGGCTCACCTGGGCGGTGAATTGCAAATCTAGGCATCGCTATTGAAAAGGTACAAATTCCACATTGGGTGTAATTAGAAAAGGAATAAATAAAATAAAACTGGCAAAACAATACCAAATAACCACACTTGGAATACTGTGTACAGTTTTGGTCACCATGTCTCAGAAAGGATTTTGCAGAGCTGGAAAAGTTGCAGAAAAAGGCAGCCAAATGATCAAGGAAGGAGCTCAAGGACAGGTTACAACATCTGCGTCTTTTTAGCTTGTAAAAAAGGTGAATGAGGTTAGACATGGTAGGTGTGAGAGAGATTATGCATTGTGTGGAGAAAGGTATGTTATGTTCTCTCTATCATAATATTAGAAGAAAGGGTCATCAGATACAGGGCAGACTAAAGGATGCACTTTTGCACACAGCACTTAGTTAAAGATGTGATGATAGCCACATCTTTGAAAGTGGCTT